CGTTAAGTCGGTCGTAAAAGGCTTATATATTAGCTTCTTAACTAGTACTTAAGTAGCCGTAAGAGGGTTTAGGCTACGAAGGAGGCGGTAGTAAAGGTATTTAAAGGCTAGGAGTCGTTAATCGTTAAATTATTTATATTATAGGCTTCTCGGGTTCTTCGAAAGTTACCGTTTTCTACTATCGTCGTTTTTCGGCTTAGGCTTTATCGGTAATTTATATTATTATACGACGTTCCGCTTACTTATAAAGCTAGGTATAAAGAATCCGGTAGTCGATATTTCCGATCTTATTATGGTTATAGTTTCCCGTTTTATAGAACTTTATAATTAAGGATATCCGGAGTTTATCGGTTAAGTATCTTACTTTCTAGGGAAGCTTTCCGTTATCGTTTACGAGTTTAGAAAGGCGTTTATAGTTTATAAGATACGTAAAGATCGCCTTAGGATCGTTAATTACGTTACTTTGTTTTAGTTATACGAGTTTACGTTTAACGTTAACTTAACTTAGTTTATCGGTAATCTTAAAACGGTACTTTAAGGCTATAACGATAACTCTTTAAATCGTTTAATCCTTCGTAACGTCGTTAACGCGCTTCCTAATAGTCTTAGTCGCGGTTTATTCGCCGATTTCCTTAATCTTATCGTCGTCGCTTATATGGTAGCGGTTAAATAATCGATTTACCCTTTTTAGCTACTAGGTTACGTTATATTCGTTAAACTTAAGCCTAAGGTAATCGATAGGGTTAAGGAACTTAATAACTAGTATTACGATAATCGGGATAGCTACCGGTATATTTTAATTATTAAAGGCTCCGTTATTATTATTTTAAAATAATATCATAGGGATTAGCGGGATAAGTATAGAGCCGCGGGTAAGGGATAGCTAAGTAAGAGTTTTATCGTCGTTCTTTTTTTCTTCGGGCGGATATAAGGGCGGAAAGCTAGTATCGATTCTTAAGGTTTTTATTAATAGTTTAGTTTTTATTACTTCGGGTCTTAACGGCGATTTATTCCGTTTCCTAGCTACGAATTCCGTTTAGTTTATCGGTACGAAGTATAAAGTAAAAAGAAAGATAATAAAGGTCTTATTACCTAATATAGGAATAAAGGTATAATAGTTATTATTTATATCCTAATACTTTTCCTTTAGTATAGGTATATTATTATTTATTATATTATCCCGATCGATAGGGTTCGGGTATTATACGAGCTTCTCTAGTCGGTTAACGCCTAATTAAAGTACGATACGTATTCCTTAAATTAATAATTTAACTATTATAAATAAGTCGACGATAATTCCTTTTATTAAGGTCTAAAACTCCTAACGTATAACCTTCGTTAAAGTAATACGTATAAGGGATAAATCCCGAGTAAAGGATCGCGTTAAATACGATACCGGTTATAGTTATAAGCCGGTTTCGATTTAACGGGAGCTATTTAATAGTATTAGCGGTATTATCGCTAGGCGTCGTTTTACGCCTATGTTAATATTTCTCGCTATATTAATTATTAGTTAATAATATAAGGCTAGCTTATATATAGGTATACCTATTAATTCGACTTTAGTTCCGTTTCCTTAATCCTTTATATCTACGTAGTTTTATTAATATTAATTTTTAGTTCTCTTTAAAACTATCGGTTATTAATAGCTATTAGTTTATTAATTTTATTTATGTTATTAATGTAAAGATCTATATTATATCGTATATTATATCGTCGAGTCGTTATACCTAGGTATCTTAAAATACCTTTAGCATAATAAGTTATTAATATCTATATATTTAATTTATATCGATTAATAGGTTTAGAGGGAAAAAGAAGCTATCGTAAGGTCGGTTAAGGCATAATTATTATTAGCCTTTATCCGTCCTTAATATTAATAAGGGAGTAGCGGGTCGTATGGGTTATCGTAATTTATACTAAGGTATTCGTACGTCCTTTATATAGTAGGTAGATAACTATAAGGAAGCTACTTTAATCGCTATAAGCTTTATTTACTCGTACGAAATATATTATATTATTAGCGGTTCGAGGAAGCGGTTAATATCGAAGGTTAAGTACTATCCCTAGTAGCGGTAGTATTACGACGAAAGTTCTCCTAGGTTTCACGGGTTCCTCCGTATAGGTAGGTAAATAACGATACGAGGGATGTCTTAATCGGTATAAACGCGGTTTAGTCGTCGTATTATATCGTAATATCGATAACTTAATAGCGTTATAAGTATTAAGAGCTAGGTATTATTTTAATAATAATAGTATCGTAGTAAAGGTTCCCGGGCTTATACGTACCTTCTTATAGTAAATAAATAACTATAAGGCGGGATATTTTATTTAACGTAAAACGCGGACTACCTCGCGGGTTAAATAGCAGCGCCGACGGCGATCGGTATCCTTTAAATCCTAGTAACGTAATAGAAACTCCGTAAACTAAAGATTAAGGGATCGAAAAAGTTATAGGGTAGTCGTTATTAAGAAGGAGTAAAGCGTACGCGATATTAAAAACCCGGATAGGTTTACTCGAAGGTATACTTTATCGAAAACTATAATACGTACGATAGTCTAGGATAAATGAAATTAATATCGCTATATTAATCGAAAGGTAAGGAATTTAATGTAGTTATCGTATCTTAGCTATACCCCTTAGTCGTAAAGATGTAATAATCGCTAGCCCGAAGGTATAAGAAGTAAGGGGAGAAAAGGAGTAAAACGTAAAAGTTATTTATTCGGCTATAGCGGTACGACGAAGTAACTTAAGCGCTTATAACTAAAATAGATATATTAATCGAAGAACGACGAATTTAATAATAAAAACGAATCTTTAATTAAGGTAAAAATAGCAAAGATAGTAATCTAGCTAGGTAATAAACTTAATAATAAGTATGGTATGTCCTATACTTACGGGAGCTATGGTTACTCTATATAGGCATAAGGCCTATCGTAGCGTATTACGTAATATATCAAGAGGGCATGTCTTACCGCACTACTACAATATATTATTATATAATATATGAATAATATATATATTCATATATAGATTATTTAAATATAAAAAATTTAATATATTTAATTTCATTATTAAAATTAATCTTTTAATATAGTATTAAAATTAGAAACCTTTATTAAAACCCTTTTCTTTATTTAAGTTTTTATTTATAAATATGATATTATATAAGTAATGATATATATATTAATGAATTATTAATTAAATTATTATATTTATTTCATTATATCTCTTTAGTTAGCTTTATAATCTAATGTTAAAATCCATAACTTTTATTAAAATAGGTTTCTTCTATTTACATTTTTCTTATAAACGTTATATTATATAAATGATGCTTTATATTCATTTATATATTAAGCATTCTTTTATTAAAAGATTAAATATCTATAATTATATTACTTAAATTAATCTATTAATATAAGGTTTAAGTTAGTAACTTTTATTATAATAATCTACTTTAGTTACGTTTTTCTTTATAAACCTTATTCTATATGAGAAATAATTTATATTTACCTATAAATTAAGCACGCATCTATCTATATATCATATAATTTTTATTATATCTTTTAAATTAACGCTATTATATATAATAAAAGTCAATAACTTTCATAACATTAACTATCTTAAACTGCTTTTAATTCTTTAAATATTATATAACGTAATATATAATCTATATTTATTTATAAATTAATTAATTAGCTATTCAAATATAAAATCCGTTTAATTATATTTCTTTGAATGATTTAATAATATATAATTGAAGTTAATGACTTTTATAGTAGCTCCATAAGGTGGCCCCATTTTTACGTTTCGGTCGATTTTCAATTCGCGAAAATCGTTTTATCGGATACGTACTAATGGTGCACCGTACACCACTCGCACGCGCAACTTCTCTCCCCCCCCCACCGTGGCGTTAAAATTGGGGTGCTTCACCTGCGGTACCTAGCACGGGCGTAGTCAACAGCCTTGGGCATAGCAAAGTACCAGTTCGACATACAGTAATTAGTAAATGACATTTTCTCACTTGGAATTTCGTATCTGGTATTGTCCTCAGCCTGTTCTGTTGTCCTCTTCCCTTATGAGCCTGAGTCACACGGCCATACCCCTAAGCCTCGCCTCCTTTCCGTCGATTCCACCGCATATCCAACTTTCCCCGATTCGACGTAGACGCTTCTGCAATGGTTCCTGTACAATGCTTCTTAGACGGCTTAGGGATAATAACGCCTTGAGAGAAAGAGAAATTATCATCTAGCCGTTCACAGATCGGGGGGTTCCCCGTCAGCTGGTGGCCTTGCTGCCTCGGTCAGCCCAAGTCTAGGTGTGATTCCCAGGGGAAAAGTCCCTTCGCGAAGTTGCATGTTTGTGGTCTTGCACACCTTACATCTCCTGTCCGTGGGTTTCTGCGAGGTCTCTAGGCTAGATCCGACTGATATTGGGGTCTTCGGTTCTGCCTCGGTAGTCCTATCGGCGCCTGATTGATTTGCTTCGCCTATCTACTTGAGGTTTCGAGTCATGCTCGAAAAACGCCCTGCTTGTCATGGTGGGGTTGTGATTTCAGGCCCACGTTCGGTTCATTGGCACACCCGCAAGCAGGTCGTTGTCCCTCGGCTGCGGGACGCCTTTCGCGCTGTACAGGCCCGTAGACTCTTCGGTACCTCTCCGGAACCACGCAATGACGACCTAGTTAACGAAAACACTCGCAGGATGGTATTTTGGGCAGAATTAGGATTGTAGAACGCGACAGAATTGGAATTGCCAATTCATAGTCACTTACCTAACTACCATCCTACTGTAGGCGGACTCGGGTCAGGGCGTTTGAGTATATAGCGTTCTCATGGACTTAGTTACACATCCCAATTGGAAATGGAATTCACAAAAAAGGATAACGGAGTAGCTGCAAGGACAACTATAGGCAGACGTACGTAGACATACCCGATCACGATAATACTATAAAACGATGTGTCGTGGCTCTCGTTCGCAGAGACTGAGTTAGGTTCATCCGACAGTCATCTCACTTTCACCTCACCTTCAGTTCACAACTCCACCTTAAGCCTCTTAAGATGGCGACTCGCACGTCCGCTCCGCGTATAGACATTGAAGTATGGGAATCTAAAAAAACTAAACTGTACGAGCTGTATGTAACACAAGGGAAATCGTTAAAGGAAGTTCAAGAAGAGATGAAAGAACCCCGAGAGTTTACACCAACGTAAGTGCTCCATCTTCAGATTCATGAATCAATCGCTTTGCTACGGACCGGATTCTCTACATTTCATAAGTTATACACGATATATGAGTCCGATAAGAGTATATATACTGACATCGACAAACATCGTATAGAGAAAAACAATATCGGTATCGTTTCGAGAAATGGGGATGGCACAAGTATCGACTGGGCTCGGGGCACGATCTCGATAACGACTACAACATGGACTCAAATTCTACGGATGACAATCTCGGAAACTCCCCAGCAAGTCCTGGCGACGATGCCGCCATGGTCGATCCTATTCATTCGTTGCCCGATGAATTTATTCGCAGTTTCAAAAATGTCAATTGTGAGGAGACCGAATTCCCTAACTGGTTGTTGAACTTCAGGGGCGCCTGCGAAACCCGGGCCGATCTCGCCGATAAAATACGTGCGCTGGTACGGCGAACTATGGGCAACAGAAGCAATGGGTCTACCATGGCCGGTACAGCAGTCTGGGGCTGCTTCAATTTAACACCCGAGGGGACTACGCCGCAATTTGGCTCAGCGGGAGCGGACAGGAATTGGATACAATCCCACAACGAAGTTGCGGAATTTACGCTGAAGGCCGCCGAACGTTGGTGGGCCGACCTGCTTTCGCCCCATCTTCGTTCCTGTCTCGGCTGGATAGAGAGACGGTTGGCGGATCGTCTCCCTAAAGATCCAGCGCTCGCGTATTTCAACCCTCGCGTCCTCCTCTTTGCGTACTTGTTCGACGTCTGGGTATTCCAGAAAAAATATGATCCCGACCACTGGATTCGGGAATCCAACGTCTTGAATATCTCCCCGTTGACAATGCTCCACGCGATGTGTTTCCTAGTGTTCAATCTACCGACAGCTACGTCGAACGCGCCGACCGTCGGGCATAACGACGAAGCCTTCTTCGACTTAGTTACGGAAAAGGTGAAAACCCTTATGCTTATGCCCGAGGAGAGGCTGATTTCGGAGTTTTTGGCCGAATTGGTCTGGATTGACAACTCGCGAGGCGATCAGTGGGAAACCGCTAGGAAATATGTAGCCGATCGGATGGGAGATATTGATGGTTACAAGTTTGATTGAACCAAGGTTTCTGGGCAGAGGGAGAGACGCTGGCGTTTGAAATTTCTCGGGTACGAGCCAGGTCGGCATGGGATATGCAGGTGGACGTTCTTAGTAGTTGGTATTCTTTTGTGGGCTTGATTAACTGGTAACAATGACACGGGAGGAGATGGAAGATTGCATTTACCTAGGAATAGAGAAACAACGCACCCATATTGGTGTGGCACTCGTAGTGACATGGTTCCGTTACCACAGGTTGCTTACGAACTAACTCAAAAAATTGGTATCATTTGCGATAACACGCATTTATGCTCGGCGGATTTTGTTCTTTAGAAAATGACACAGTCGGCGCGAATTGTAATGCGGAGCCATCTGCAAACCGAGCCGAATAGTGAGGGTCGCTGTCAGTATCAACAGTATCAAGCAACCGTCTCTCTTAAGTATCACGTACCTACATACACATCCTAGGCACGTAGTCCGTCGATGTAGCGGACGGAGAGGAGCGGGTAAGTGAGCGTAAGGGCGTTCGTTGCAGGGAGACCCCTCGTCATATTCCCCCGAGTCCAGCAATAGTCGCATACGCACGTCATCTTCACTGCTCAACAGCAGAAACCAGTCGCGTGATAAGTGAGGGCTGGAGGGGAAGGTTCCCTCGTTTCCGTCTTTGGCCGTTGCTTAGCCGAGGCAAACCGCGACGGTGTAAGTCGGACGTGTCAACTAATATCCATGTTAATGACGGGGACGCGGGGAGATAACTAGGTAGTGCGCCGGAAACAATGCGAATGCATCCATCCTCTCCAACTAGGCCAACATCAGACCTTTCTCGTCGAGGGTCTCTCTCCCCCTCTCCCCCTCCAAAGATAACCGCTGCTCCGCAAGACGCGTCTTATTCGAGGTAGGCGATGGACAAAGCTCAAAGCTACGCTCCGTTTGCTGGTTATGGACGTAGAGCGAGAGCCGTCGGGGTACGCCGCCTAGATACGGGTATGTAGTTTACTCCTACGGTGGGGCAGTGGTTTCTGCCGGTGGGACCTAGAATGGATTCCCCAGCAGCCCCTTTTATTCGGGGGAATCCAGCAAGACACCGACGCAATGACGATTCTGTAAATGTTGTAAATTCCTTGTATAGATAACGGAGATTTGGGGGGAGGTTCTGATACTCATCCTCTTGGTACCGTCGTGAAGCTCTGCTCCCCACAGCCATTTCCCACAGCCTGGCTAGCCCCGCGCGCGCCAGGTTGTATGCCTCAAGAACACGACGCAGCTAAGATAGCCGGAACACAACAGGCCACCATTACGTACCGATGTTCCTCCCCGGGGACCCCACCGACCAATGAAAAATGACGCCGTTAGTCGTCGTCGGCCTTGTCCTTCCACCTTCAGGATTGACGGCGATAAGGGAAACTGCAGGTGACAAAGTGATTCCGTAGCTGGGAATCGGCAAGTGCGCTAGAGGGTTCGCCCGCCGGTATGAAAAGCGGAGTCGAACGATACAAACACCGCAAGCCAACGCCGACACCGCCATTTTCCCCCTATCATGCCCTACTCCAGCATAAAATAGACCTCGCTTACCTGAGACTTTCCTGCCGCCAAAGTGTATTTTCCTATCCAAACCCCTCCCGACCCCTCCTGAATTGCCGGTGCCCCGAGCCCAGATTGTCGACATGACGAACCGCTTTGAACAGCTCGTTAAGGATATCAAGGGCATCTTAGGACCCTCATCAGGGCTAACCTCTGACGATGTGGACGTAGAAGACCTAACTCATATCATGGAGAGGTACGTCTCCAACGAAGAGGAGTGGTCCCATTATGCGATGGGAGATGCGAGTATGGCGTACACGCGAAACCTCGTCGACGAGGGGAACGGAAACGCGAATCTGGTAAGCCAAGTTACCTCACCACCTCGGCATGACCCGTCGGAGCGTGCAGGTCAGGGTGCTGACTGGTATGATCCGTCGAAATAGCTCGTACTTGTCTGGACGCCCGGGAAGGCCAGTCCGATCCACGACCACGGCAACGCCCACTGCCTGATGAAGATCCTTCGCGGCGACCTCACCGAGACTCGGTACGACGTGCCCAGCGGAGATGGAGAGAGCCCACCGAGGCTCAAGTCGGAAAAAGTCCACCAGGAGAACGCCGTGGCTTATATGGCAGACCAACTTGGACTCCATCGCGTGTCCAACAAGGGAGGCGACTACGCTGTCTCCTTGCACTGTAGGTTGCCTATGGTGTAGAATGCCCGCCCGTCAATGCCACTTGGCTAACTTCAAGCTGCCAGTATATACCCCGCCGAACGTGGCCAAGTACGGATGCAACATCTTCGACGATAGCACAGGGAAGAAGACGCATATCGCCAAGTGCGGCAACTATTCGGCCTATGGCAAACGAGTAGAGGGTTAGAGTTCTTTCCCAGCTGTGACGTGACCACGATCGGGGTGTCGGGAGTTTCGGAGGGACGTTAACGGGAGAAATCCCTAAGATCGCTAATAGATTGGCTGTATCATGTCGACTTCCTCTCTTGTAAGGCTCACGAAATGGATAATGGCTCTCTTTGCAGTGCGTTCGAGGCAGAGATGCTTCCCCTTCACGGAGAGAGCCGTGGCAACGGGAAGCCAACGGTAGGGGGAATTTAAACTGCCTAGGCATGCGCAGCCGACGACGAGGTTGCTCGCAACCTGAGGCATAATAGGGGTCCGATACGCTCCTTAGGTATTGAACATCCTGGAAATTTGTGTGAGAGGGAGAGGTGTAGTGAAAGAGAGAAGAGAAATTGTGCTCTTGCGGCTCGTCTGACAGTATTTGGCACTCTTGCCCTCAAGTCGAACTGGCCTAGCTCGGATTGCGCCATCGTCATATTGTCTGATTGGCTATAACGCCACTACCAAGGTCTCCACACCGACTTCTACAAGGCCGGTTATGCTTACAGTGCATGCACCAGGACTCACACCGTATCTTCTGCATGTCTCGACAGGACGTCCGAGTTACGTCGTACATAATATGGAGCTTTGCTAGGTTGACTATAGACCTACGGTAGGTATCTATGAGTTAGTCGATATCGGTAGGTGTATCTACCTATACACATTGCTTAGATGGTAGGTAGATGTGTAGCGTGCGTTGGACTGCTTTCGTGGGCAGCATTCTGTCTTCTGCATTGTATGAGTAGGTACCTCCTGGAGAATCTCCGGCTGAGAAGTGTGACCTCCACAGCCCAGGACCTGGAGTTGTGCTACAGCACACAGGTTACCTCCAGGTTACCTCTGATAACCTCTTATCGTGCCGGGGGTAATTTGAATTCATCACGTGATGACGAGACGGATAACATCCAGGAAGTCGCGGTCAAAGCGCGTCAGAGAGCCTTGATGATTCAGCCATCGACGATCTGCAAACGAGGACCCGGTTCTTCTCCTTTTTACCCCTGCGTATTTCTTTCTTTCTTCACCTCCGCTTTCCCGGGAAAGGCATCCTGTTTCTCCTGGCATCTCTCCCCGTAGAAGTAGTTCCGGTACTTGTCGTCTTCCCTAGTTCTGCCGAAGCAAATGAACGGTTAGAAGTTGCCCTACGCCGAGAGACACCCTCGGCTTCCCCACGATGGCGCCGAAAAAACGTGCTTCTGCTGCAGCCCTGGCGGGGGGACGTCCACCCAAGCTTCCCCGGCATCACGATAAAGCACCCGCGAGTTCCTCAAACCAGAAATCCGGGCGCCATAACCCCCCCTCTTCTCTTCATTCTCAGCCGAATTCTCAATCTCCGCCCGGCTCCTCTAGCCAACAACCTCCAAGATCCTCGTGGGTCGAAGAGTACGTCGACCATGCTATCGACCTCACTCAGGCTGACGATGGCCCTGCTTCCTCGATGGAATTATACGGGATCATGAACAGCAAGATTGTGGGTGTTAGGTACTATAGCGGAATGGTGAGTCTCGGTGAGAGGGTTCTCTGTCGGCGTGAGCCTGGTAATCCGTATGATAAGTATGCTGTTCGTGTCGACAACGTCATGCGAATACAAATAGGCCATCTCCCAGCGACCGTCGTCTGCAAGCTTGCACCATATATCGATAGGAACGAGATCGTCCTTGAAGGAGTCCTCGCCGGTCATATGGGCCACTTTGATTGCCCCGTTAGCCTATATCTCTACGGGACTAGCGATCCTACGCGTCGCCTAGAGCTGGAAGAGAAACTGAAACGCGACAAGATCCTGAAAGCTACAGAACTCAAGGCTACTCGGAAGGAGGCCGAGGCCCAGAGGGGCGCCTCTATACGTCTTAGATGCAACGCATCCACCGCTGGTTTAGGAACCACCGAGGGACGAGAGCTCGAGGAATTGTTAGCAGACAGCGAGGTTGCACAGTTCCGACCAGATATTAGCTCTATTGACCCGTTTGCGATGAATGAGGACGCCCTATCCAAGCTACCCAAGGCAACCCAACCTAAGGATATTCAGTCAGAGCTACTGCCATATCAGCTCCAGGTACGAGAGACAAATCTTATATTCAGCACTAGAACTGCTAACAGCACATATAGGGCTTGGCTTGGATGATTGCCCGGGAAAATACACAGCCCCCGGCCCTCGGGTCGAAGGAGGTCGTGGAGTTATGGAAACGTGATGAGCGGGGGAACTTTGTCAACCTACTCTCAAATCACGTTACCAAAGTCCCTCCTAGCATGGTCTCGGGTGGCCTGCTTGCTGATGACATGGGCCTGGGTAAAACGCTTCAGGTCATTAGTTTGATCCTGGCAAGCGGCTTCAACGAGGGTCCGACTCTCATCGTTGCGCCAGTGGGCGTGATGAGCAATTGGGAACAGCAGATCCAACGGCACGTGAAGCAAGACGCAACACCCCGGGTCCTCAGATACCACAAGCCGGGGACATATTCGAAGGACGACTTTCTGAAATATGACGTCGTTGTTACCACGTACGACAGGCTTCGTAATGACTTCACCAAGCAAGGAGCAGCATTTTCGGTACAGTGGCGCCGTATTGTCTTAGATGAAGCACACGTCGTTCGGAACTTCACGACCGGCAGGGCTCAAGCTGCGTATGGGCTTCAAGCTAAATCCCGGTGGATGTTGACGGGAACGCCAATGTAAGTCGAATAATGTATTCGAGGGCTCGTTTATATGACCTGCCGTTCGCTTTATACTCCTCGCGACGCTAATTTGACGGCCATTAGCGTCAACTCCCCTAAGGATTTCCTATCAGCTTTGAAATTCCTTAAGATTACAGGCGGCATTGAAGAAACCACCCTCTTCATGCAATTGATCGACAAGCCATTATCGAATAGCGAAGCGAGCGGAAAGAGCGACGAATACAAGGTGGCCAGCGGACTATTTCAGTCGCTAATACGAGATCTTTGCCTGCGACGATCCAAATACATGAAGTTTGTCGACCTCAAATTACCCGCCAAGACCGAATACGTCCACCGCATCAAGTTTAGGAAGGATGAGAAGGTCAAGTACGATGTCTTATTGTGAGTGCCAAGGGTCGCCCGTGCTTGACCTGATGGGGCGATTGTTGATGACTCGGCAGGTCGGAAACCACCAAGATCCTAGGGGCGTATCGACCTGGACCTGGGAACGGGGCAAGACAGAACCAGATACGATTCACGAGTGTCCTAGAAAAACTTCTCCGTCTTAGACAGCTGTAAGTGCCGGCCGCATCACCCTAGTCAAGCTGCCATCAAAAAAAAACTAGCTCGAATCATCGCAACTGATCGCTAGCTCTCAGATGTTGCCATTGGACCTTGTGTGGGGGGCAGGCGAAAGACATTCTCGCCCCCTTAGAAAGCGAGACTATGGTGACGTTCACATCGGACAATCTCAAAATTCTCCAGCAAGCGCTTCTTGCTGTCACCACCGACGGAGAGGAATGTCCGATCTGCATGGAGGCCATCAGCACACACAACCCTGTCATCACCGCGTGCAAGCATCGCTTTGGAAAACCATGCGTCTCTAGGGCAATTGGAATCAATGGAAAGTGCCCGATGTGCCGCCAGCCTCTGACTTTAGACTCTATCGTGGACCTGCAGCCAGCGGATATCGACGACCGATTTGACGGGGATACCAGAAGCTCGAAGACAGAAGCTCTAGAAAAGATCTTGAGAGCAAGACTTAAGGACCCGAAGTCGAAAGTGGTCATATTTTCCCAGTGGACATCCTTTCTGGCCATCATCGGAAAGTTGCTGGATGAGGCAGGATATAAGTACTGCCGTGTCGAAGGGTGGATGCCAGTATCCAAGCGTGATCAATCGATAGAGGCTCTGAATACAGATCCGGACACCAGAATCATGCTTGCCAGCCTGGCCGCCAGCGGCGTCGGCTTGAACCTGGTCGCCGCCGACACGGTAATACTTGTGGACTCGTGTAAGTCTTTCACGGCATATCTTTGATTACTGTCTGGTCGTACTAAATTATGCAAAGGGTGGGCGCCCGCTATAGAAGACCAAGCGATCGATCGCGTGCATAGGCTCGGCCAAACTCGCGAAACAACGGTTTGGAAACTCATCATGGACGGCAGCGTCGAAGATCGCGTTCTCGGCGTCCAAGCCAGAAAACGTGAGCTGGTCAGCCGGGCATTCCAAGACGAAGCACGAGTACAAAAAGAGACCAATCGCCTTGGTGATATTCTAGAACTGCTCTCGTGAGGCTTCGGGAACGGTAGCTCTATATAAATTCCTACGACGGCAAGGAACAGATGTGAAGGAGGAATTAATGGGGAGGAGGGGAGGGTACACAGGCCAAAGACGGACAGGATTGCTTCAAGCAAGTATGTTGCCATCGCGGCTGTAAGGCTTACTACCGACGGTTATTATGACAAGACTATATACTCATAGTCTGTATGGGTTCGAGATGAAGCCACTACGGGCTAGCGTCTGCAAGAATTGTTAAGCTTTAATCAATACTGCATTGTGAGATATAAAAAATAACTTTATGACTTTACTTAATTGTAAAAAGATTAATTTAACTAAAAAGACTCATAAGTATTTTTAAAAGCTAATTAATTATACAATTCATTAAAATAAAGTATATAATAAAGATTAAAGACTTTACAATAAAAAGAGAACAGTTAAAGTACTATAAATTAATATTTATCTCATTTTATTTACAACCGCGCCCTTGTAATTGCTTCTCCGTATACACCTACGAATCCATACCCATTCTAATACCACTTGTGCGGGGCAACCAACCAGCCGCCGTGGATGGACCCAGCACGCATACCTACCGTACCGTACACGGCCACCAGCCCGTCTCGTAACATTGCGGGTATTAACTTCTTGGCCAGGGGGAGGGGGGGGGCGGACAAATGCGGAGGTGGTAGGTAACAAATACGAGGCGGCTTGCATATCGTATAGGTATGTCAGAGGGCAGGTTTTCTTAATTGTCGTCCCACGGGGGGAAAAACTGCCCACCTAGGTAGGTAAGTTAGTTGACCTGCCAGCTCACAACCGGCTCGGTGCGTGCCAACCGAGTGGCAACCTCGAGAGATGAACCAGCCCGTATTCGCGTCTCTCTCTCTCTCTCTCTCTAAACAACAGGTCTAGTAGGCGGGCCCGTGGATTTCTTATAGACGACAGGGCCCGTCGTAGGTCGGTAGGTGAGAGGGCGCCGTCACACCGCGCGGCCCGCCTGCGACATACCTACCTTACCTGCCTTACCTACTCACCTAGGTACAATACGTAAGTAGGTACACACTTACGCGGCGACGACAGCGAGAACAGGCCGAGCAGAGGGTAAGAAAGAGAAGAAGAAGAAGAATAGATCACGCAAAACAGCCGAGGGAGCCAGACAGACAGAGCAAGGTCCCGTCCCCTCGTACAACAGCTAAGGCGGCGCGCCCGCCAGGCATCGCGGCCCGCCGCCGCCGCTGCCGATTGGGCGAGGCGGGGGCGAGCCGGTGCAGCGCGTAAGTCTAGGCCTGCGTTCCCGCCTCCCCCCCCGGAGCCATGGGCGGGCGATTAACATGGCAGATCTCGATCAGCGCACCCTGTCCCGTGTAGAGGCAGGCAGACAGGGTCGCATCCAGATGGGGATTTTCTGTCTCCCCCGGATAGGTAGATCGTGGTCGGTAGGTAGGTAGGTGGGTAGATATGTAGGTCCATGCCTTGCACACCAACCTAACTGCCTACATGCCTACCTGTCTACTTACCTACCTAACCTCACCTAACCTCACCTAGCCTACCGGCCTACTTACGTATACCTATACATTAGGTAGATATCCTGCCCTGCCTCTCCCCAGGCGGCCACGCATTTCCCTTCTGCGTCTCCGTTCGTCTATGTACCTAAGTACGCGGGCGTTCCGGCTGCGTACTTACCTTAGGTACCTGTATAATACCTACCTTACCTACCTGCGCATCTACATACCCACCTACACGAACGAGCCTAGCACTTGGGCCACTGCTACCGACGGGAGAGCGCTGTCCGACGGACCACTGCCTGCACCCACGTGCGCCCATCGACGGCGTTCGGCTTGCAACGCTGGCAGGGAGCTGGGCTGCCGCCCTATAGTAGACCCAAGGTAACTCGCCGTCGTTCCACCCCTTCCTATTCCCTCAGCCCTAAGATGTGCGATCCCCGACTTCTCTCGTTTATTTTTGTCACGTTATTACCTGTCCCCGCTCGAGTTCCCCCCTCCCCCCCTTTCTCCACGTTTCCTCCCGGCAGGTCGGCAGGTCGGCAGGGAGCCAAGCAGGTTATATAATTATGTGCGTGTGTGTGTGTGCTGATATGCTGTGATATAATAGCGGCGGGGCGAACGACCGCATCTACTGAGCTGAGCCGCAGATCGTGCGCCGATAGCCGCTGGGAGGGGGGAAGCGGGGGGCCCGCGATCCGCCGAGCCAGATCTTCCCAGGTGTCTTGGCTCGAGGCGCCTACCAAAGTCTCGCTTCGTCGGCTGATGACGGCGTGCTACCGCAGGTTGTAGGTACCTATCGTCTGGGCTCCTAGGAGAGCGAGCGGCAGAAGGGAACGGCTCGCGCCCAAGACGTCGGCAGAGTATGGAGAGTGGCGGTGGGCGCAAGGTAAGGTAGGTAGGTAGGTAGGTAGGTAGGTAGGTAGGTAGGTAGGTACCTAGGCAGGTAGGTATGGCCTCGTGATGCTCTTGTCAGCCGAACAACAGGTTAATGTCTGCCGCTGTCTCTATCTCGCCGGCTATCGCTGCTACGTAGCGCGAGGGCCGGCGTGGCATGAACGATCGACGGACGGACGGACGGTGAGGCGACGTACAAAAGTCGAGCGCGCATGAACGACGCACAACAAGGTCGCAGAGCGGTATGGAAACGTACGATTGGCAAGCGATGCCGAGATATAGAGAGGCGGCGCCGTAAGGCGCAACAAGGCTGCATCAGCAAGCGGAGAAGTTAGCGCGGCGTGCTGTAGAGCTCCCCCAGAAGCGTAGACGGGCTGTCCCATGCTGGGACCTCGTTCAGATGGTGCTAGGTAGGGGGAGATGGGCTGTTCGCCGCATACGATGTCGTAGTCGACCGCGGGGAATGCTATAGTTCCTGGCTGAGGTGGACACGGCTGGTGAACTTGGTCGAGATATCTCCTGATGCTGTCTCTCTCCTCCTCTCGGGGGTATATAAGAAGCTGGAGCCGACCTCACTTCACACCTGACAACGTGAGAGACGTAGCTATCCTCCTTCAGTCCTCCCACGAGCCGTCCGCCACACTTGCTCGTAACCAAATACGTATCCTCTCACACCCTCCTATAACCTATAGTCGTCCAACAATCAGACATGCTCCCCATCACCACCGCCGTCGCCCTGGTGCTCGCTGCCGCCCACAGCGTCTTTGCCGCGCCGGTTGCCGACGTCCTGGTAGCTCGGCAGGGCTACGTCGCGCAGTGTACGTTGGTGATATTTCCACCATTTCCCGCCTCCTCGTCATACACCCCCGCTCCCCATTGGTGAGACTCCCCCTCGCTGACCTCGCGTGTTCGATCGTAAAGGCACCGAGATCTACACTGTCCTAGCGGGCGACCGCTGCATCGACATCATCGCCAAGTACGGCTCGGCCTTCACTCTACAGGAGTTGTAAGTGCACCTAACTGAATTCCTCCCTCAAAAGACAATTTTTTGCCTCTGCTGTTCTCCGCCTCGAGGGGGGCTCAGCGGGGTAGAAGAACTAACACGGCCCTTCCCCCCTCCCCCCCTTTAGCTACTCCTGGAACCCGCAGGTCAACAGCGCGTGCACCAACCTGTATATCGGCCAGCAAGTCTGCGTTGGCGTTGGGACGACGCCGACCGGGTGCGCCGCGCCCACCATGCCAGGCCTCGCTGCCGAGTGCACGAGCTGCTACCAGGTCGTGGAGGGCGACACCTGCTGGGTCGTCGTCGCGAAGACCGGCGTCACCCTCGGCAACTTCTACAGTTGGAACCCGAGCATCAATGCCGACTGCACTAACCTCCTGCTCGGGTACAATTACTGTGTCGGCGTGTAATTGTTTTTAGTTACCTTGGAGGGCGAACAGGGAACCGATGAAGGGGGGGGGGGGGGACAGAGGCCCACAGGTGGAGGTTGTGAATAAAAAAGGCCCCCCCTTCCCCCCTCCCCTCTGCTTTTTTCTCCCCGGCTCTCTGGGGGTTCGGATCTGTGACGGGGTTGAATGGGCGTATTGGTTACGATATACGAGTTCGAAAAATCGTCTGAACCACTCCTTCTCCAATAGCAGCGTTATGTATAGTAATTGATGTCAGGTAATTCAAAATCGACGAAGTGGAATCTCACTGAGGTCAAGATGCCTCGCCCAAGGTCTAGAATGGTGCTACCAATTTCAATCGTGTATTGTTACGACGGCTCGAAGAGAAGCGGGTCCCCGAAACTCCCGATCAAGCCGGTCGCCAAAAAGATGTTGTGTAATAAGTTATCAGAAAGGACTGTCTAAGAATGTCAACGAACCCGGGCTTGCGAGAGCCATTGGGCTGCGGGGGCAGTAAATAAGGGGGGCATCCCGACGTATCATGCCGGGACCTGAAATCATCTCGTAAACCCGGTAATGGTCACGTACACCGTGCTCGTTCTCCGCATACGTGCTTTTCTGTAGAAGGGAAGCGCAGGCCTGACTCGATGGGTTCATCTAGGCAACCTGCTTGAAACCCGGCTCGCTCTCGTTCACACCAGCGGTAGCCATCATATATTTACCGACATCACCTCGTTATAGCTCACCTCGCCCCCTAGAGCCGAGCCCAGCGCAGGCTCACAGCGACGACGATAACCGGCAGCACGCTGACCAGCTCGCCGAGCCCGGCGAACTCGGGCGGAATGCGCACCTCGTCTCCGTCCCCGCCGGCGGCCTTGACGAACGCGCCAGCCGCAAGCAGCACCGCAAAGACGTTGTACACGAAGCTCCAGCCAAAGTTGAACGCGACGCGGCGCACCGCCGCCCGCGAAACGTCCACCATTGCGAGCACGCCCCCGAGGGACGGTCGGACAAGCACCACATCCGCCGCCGATTTTGCCACGTCTGTGCCCGAGTTGACATGCACGCCAATGGTGGCCTGGGCTAGCGCGACGGCGTCGTTGGTCCCGTCACCGACGAAAACAACGACGGGAGACTTCCCACGGCCCTCGCCCGTCTGTGGTGCAAGGAGCGTCTGGATATAGGCCTGCTTGTCGGCAGGCGAGCACCGAGATATGGCACAACCTCTGGGAATCCCGAGGCTGGTCGCCGCAGCCTGGACAGCGCCGTCGTCGTCGCCGCTCAGCATCGACACAGCGATGTTTCGCCTCTGCAGCTCGGCCACCACGGATGCCGCGTCCTGCCGGATTGTATCGGCCAGTCCGAAGACGGCCCGAAGCTCTGATCCGATGACTACGCAGAAGGCGGTGTAGCCCTTTGAGAGTACATCTTGTACGATGGGGTTGGACTCGGTCCCGAGCCAGCGAGAATTGCCGCCCCGAACAGTAACACCATCGATGATTCCCTGTACGCCTTTGCCCGGGAGAGACTTGATTTCGCCGACCTTATTACCCGAAATTCCCCCGCTTTCTAGGTGAGAGGCGATAGTTGACGATACTGGGTGTTTGATTCCAGCCAGCAAGCCCAAAATCTGGGGGGCGACTTCCTGCCGGCTCCCTGTCGGATATTCCTCCATTGTCACGGAGAGCCTCCCTTCGGTTAGTGTGCCAGTCTTGTCGAATACGACGTGCGAGGTCTTGTACGCCACCTCAATGGCCTCACTCTCCTTAAAGATTAATCCTTTCTCGGCAGCAACGCCACTGGCGATCATGATGACCATGGGTACGGCTAAACCTATCGCGCACGGGCATGAGACTATGAGCACGGTGATGCCGTAGGTTACCGCCTGGGTCACGGCCTCGCTTCCTGATTTTCCTTGGACGCGAATTCCTACGCCGACCCAGGCAACGAAGACGATTATGGTCAATAAAATGACGGTCGGGACGAAGTAGGATGCCACCCGGTCTGCGAGCTCTTGGATCTTGGGCTTCGACAACTTGGCGTCGTCGACCATCCCCGCAATAATGCTAATCGTGTTCTCTCCAGGAAGCTTGGTGAGACGGGCCGTGATAGTACCGGAGCCATTGAGAGACCCGGCAATAATGACGGAGCCCGGTTTCTTCTCGATTGGCAGCGACTCGCCTGTGAGCATTGATTCGTCTACCTCCGTGGTGCCGGATAGGACCACGCCGTCTGTGGGAGCTTGGGTATGAGGGGCGACTTTGAAAATGTCACCGTACTGGAGCAGCCTAGCATCTATGTCGGTCTCGGTACCGTCGTGAGAGACTAGAGTCGCCGTTGGAGTCTGAAGGCTCCGTAACGAGATAGACTCCACAGCTTTCTGGCGAGCTAGGGCACTGACCCATCGGCCGACCATAATGAGAGTTACCAGCAGTGTGCTCGTTTCAAAGAAGTCGCCAGTCGGTAGGGGTCGGCCGCTGGCCGAATAAGCGAACGACACGACGGAAAAGATATAGGCCGCAGTCGTACTCAAGACGATGAGTAGGTCCATTTCAACCACTCTCGAGAACACCAGACTTTTCAGGGCCTTCGGGTAGAACGGACCCGCGATGAAGACTTGGACGATAGTTGCCAAGGCCAGAGATACGCTCCCGTATACGAGCGGACGTGGCTCCAACGGAGCCCAAGCCAATACCAAAACGGGAATTGTAAGGAGGGCAGAAGCGAGGGTCATCCAGCCCATGTATCGGACGTGTTTACTCCCCGCAGCAACTGACGGATCAGCCTGGAGAGGCGCGAGATTCGGAGGAGTCTGGAAACCTTTATAGAGGAGATCCCGAGCTCCGATAACATCTGGTTCGAACAAGATGCGGACAGTTTGCTTGTCGACAAGATCTACGCTTTCAACACCGAGGGGCATATCCTGCTGAATGAACTGCTTCGCTCCCTCGACCGGGATGACGTCGAGCGTTGAGCCGTGGGTCGCGATCCTGTCGCACTTGAACTCTGTCGTCCTTTCAATGTGCTTCATGATGTCCTCCGGCGTGGCCAGACTGAGGTCGAGCTGAAATTCAACCCTGGCCATGACCAGGCTCGTTTTGAGGTGATTGACCGCGCTGACCCTGCCCAAAGTCTGCTGCAGCTTCGTCTCGCAACCTGTACACGTCATACCGGTGATACTGAGAACGACATGCTCGGCACCAGACATGCCCATCTCGACGTTAGTGATATTGGCGTCTGTACCTCTATCTTTGCCTGGCAGACGCTGAACCGCTCTATTACCATCCTTGCGGCTCCGGTTCTTAAATGATGTATCGCAGCAGGAACTAGCTGCTTGAGCAGGCGTGACAGACGGGTTCTTCGGTGTTTTATTGCAGCAGCCTTTAGCGCAAGATTTTACGGGCTCGTCTCTCAAGGTCGACGAACTGCGTTTTGGGGAGGCTGAACAGCAAGTCCCCGTCGTCACGGACTTGCAGGCCGAGGCCTGTTTCTTGCGGGATCCCGAGGAGCAGGCTTTCTTCAAGCCGCGCTTCCTCTCCACCGACGAGACTTCTCGCGACGCACAGCACGACTCCTGGCCCAGCGCGATCAGTGCTCTGCACAGACAGCCTAAGGCTGCGAGCCTAGTTTTATATTTCTCGCGGGTCCAATTCTCCTTGGAGGAGACAGAGCGCTGTGAGGAACTCGCCGCGTCGTCATCTAGGAAGAGGTCAGAATATATAGCTTGGCTAAGGCCGGCGCTCGGGTTCGGGATACGGACCTTTCTTGGTTTTATTCGCAGTTTCTCGGAGCATGAGCCGGTCGATGCAAGAGTCTTAGGTAAACAAAATTAGCAATCTCGATCAGCCCTGCCAACCGGGGTCGGCACGTCTCCAGGCCTTACCGTCGCAGCACGGCTTTTGTTTCTGCTGGCAGCAAGGAGGCTCGGCCGTGTCGGGCTCAGAATCATCGCAGCACTCGTCTTTGCACGTGTCCTGTGGGAGATTATTGGATGGACCACAGCAGTCTTCATGAGATGCCCCCTCCTCCTGAGTATCGCAGCACTTGTCTTTGCATCTATCCTGTGGGAGATCACCGAACGGACCACAGCATCCGGCATCAAATGCATCCTCCTCTTGAGCATCACAGCAACTATCTTGGCAGGACTTAACAACGGCCGGCCCCGACGGCTTGCAGCAGTCATCCCTCACATCTCGTTCATTTTTCTTGGACGAGCAGCAGGCATCTTGGCAACTCGGGGCTGATTTTGGGGCGATGAGCCCGCAGCATTCGTCGTCCGGCTCGGACGCGGCGTCAGCCGTGCCGCAGTCGCCGCAGCAGCTGTCCTCGTCACCTGAGACCGGGTCGCTACGGCACCCACTCTCTTCAGCGGCTTCGACGGCAGCAGCAGCGGCAGGAACAACGGCAGCGGCAGCAGCAGCGCCTCCAGCGCAACAGGCAGAGCTGCAGTCATCCTCCTTCTTCGCCTCCTCCACCACTGGCCGAGGAGGGGCGCAACATCCAGCCGTACAGCCAGCTTTCCCCTTTGGTTCGCCCATCCCGATACGTTCCTGTACGTATTGCTGACGCCTCTTGGCAGGCGCTTAACCCCCAGCGGAACTTACACGCGGGCGGAGGCAGTGTGAAGTGAAAGATCACGTATCACAGGGTTGGGTAGCAGTGGTGGTGGTGTGTACTGACGGTGTTAGGTGTCCGTATATCGAAGCAAATTGAACCTAACTCTGGAGAGGAGGAGGAGAGAGGAGGGAAGAGAGAAAACCAGAGGAGAGAAGAGAGGGGGGAAAACGACCCTGCCAATCGAAGTTGCAACCGCGCTGCAATCAGGCTGCAGAGGCTTATCGGCGGACTGCTAACTTGCACGGTGCTGAAGCTTAATTCCACGGTCTTCTACACAGATGCGCTTTGCCTATTTCGGTCCAGGTATCGTCCTTTACTCTATAAACGCCGACCTCCAATGCTAGTTTACTTCCACGACCATTGAATGGACGAAGCTACGTATACGAATTGAATATAACACCGTTACCGTCGCGGAAACAAAGATACAAAGTTCTATGAATAGCTGCTTATTTAGCTTCTGCATCGGTTCGTCGCGGCAATGCCGTTGACCGAGCCTGACGCAGGGTCGTGAGAAATACAAGGTGAATATATATACCGAAGAGTGCCGGCGACGCTAAACCAAAAGAAGCAACATAATTAGGTGGGTAACCGACCGTGGAATTAAGCAATCCGCTTACTCTATTCTGCCATCAGGCCACCACGTGTGTGTGTTTGTCTTCGCGTAATGGCGATTCCTGGGTGGTTCGTGCGCCCGAGCATAAAGAGATACCTAGGTACCTGTAGGTATAGGTGGCTTCGTAGTCAGTACGTACCTACTTGGGTACCTACCTCCTAGGTATCTCCTGTTGGAAAGTGACGTCGAAAAAAAAAAACAGCTGCCTACAGACCGGATGGATAGTTACCGATCGTTGTCGATCAGGGACCGTTATAGCTCCTTACACACCTTTACTACAACGTAAATACAACTTTCGATGTAGGAACGCGGATATCTTAGCTAAGGCCGGTCAACCGTTATTTGGCGCTAAGATTGCATAGACATGTACCTACCTACCTACCGCTAACCTACCCTAGCCGTACCTAAGGTCTCCGACGACGAGGTATGATTACGAACCTGACGATCTACGGAGGAGACAGTCGCAACAACTCTGACCTTGTCAGCGGCCCTGGCCGCCATTAGAGCAGCACCGGCGCAGGCACCCTGCCCGTGGTGTGTCACCAATCAAGTCACCAATTGACCGTTTCCAGAATTCGGTCTCCGGATGCCTGCCCCCCACCCCTCCCTCTTCTCGCCGACCTATCGGGGACCGACCTCCCCGACCTTGACCGGGCGATACGGCCCCTCACACGACTGCGATAGGTGCAGTAGTATCAGAGAGGTCACACTGCAGTCTGCCAATCCACGGTGGGGTCATCCGATGTCGGCTGTCTTCAGCTGCTCCCTCACCGGACAGCTGGAGGCTTAAAGCCCGCCAGCATATTATCATCCACCGTCACGGCAAGGCCTGACCCCCGTTTCGTCCCGTAATACTCCTTTCCTGTCGACCTGCCCATCTACCTTACCCTCTTTGGGGTTACGAGACGATCGGGTCAGATCACCTCCCTGCCTGATGCGGTCGGCAGGATTTTTCGTTAGTTCCAAGAGGCGGCACATGGCCTCTCCGTCGCTCCCGCCTTTTCACCGGAGTGCCTACCTGGGCCTACCTTGCCTTACCATCGGGCTCTCCTTGACCACCACCTCCTCTCGTGTCTGATCTAAGAAGCTCACACAACCTTGCCTAAACTTACTGACAACTTCAACTAGTCGCGTTGATTCTCATCCGACTATTGAAATTTTTGGTTCCGTCACTTGACCATCAGTCACTTTCCGAGTGCGCGAATAAATCCCACCTCCGACATCGACGCCGGCGGCGCGACCCATACGTCGAGCTAAGCGTGTGCAGAGTTGCGCGTGGGCGCGCGGGCGGACGAGTGTCGGATGCGCCAGGGATACGCACGTCGACCCCCCCTCTCATTCGGGGCACCCTTGGCACGAAGAAGGTTTTTGTTGAAGCGCCGACAGATACCTCTTCTCTCCAATGCCTCGCTAGCTGCGGGCAAGATCTCTCTCCTCCCCGCCCGTCCTCCCGTCTGACTGCCTGCCGATCAACCACGCTGCGAGATCTAACAGGACACCCGAGTTGGAGTCTTTTCAGCTCCGTCAAGGTTCTACGGGAAGCGAGCGGGCTCTATGGCGGTGTGATCCAAGGAGCAGGCTGCATGCAGCCCAACACGGCGTAGGTCGGCCTGAGTAAGTAGATAGCCTCTCCTTACCTGCCTGCCTGCCTGCCTGCCTCCTCCCTAACCTACCTACCTGCGTATGCATCGGTACAGTGTAGAATTTTGCCAGCACGCTAGGCGCGCCAGCCGAGGTGTCGTTCAGGCCTTTGAAAGGGGAGGGGTTGACGGAACCTGCGTGTTTTCGTTGGGGTAGAAGAGAGGGGGAGGGTTAAACAGACGCTGTTCACCCTAACAACACCCCGGACCAGCATCGTTCGTTGTCTGTTGAACAATTCGACCGCCTCGCTGTCCGAACAAAAAAAAAAGCCAAGAAAGGTCAGAGTTAGAGTTACACGGCGCTGGGCCCTCGGATAATCGCTGCTCCCACAACCCTCGAGAGGACAGGGAGGGAAAAAAAAACACCAACAATAAAAAAGACCATCGGCAATTGGCTGCGAGGATGGTACGGCAAGACGGCTGAAAGGGGACATGATCGACGACCTCACGTCCTTTAGGCCTTGAAGGCTCGATGTCGGCTCGGCATTTCGCGCTGCAGCCATCTGCGGTTGGTGCCGGTTGGCTCGCTCGCCTGGGATAGCCAACGGGAGGCCTAGCAAAAGTTACCGTTGTGGCGGGACCAATAAGATGATATCACCAATTCGACCGCGAAAGCCGCTCCCCCCCCCCCTCCCATGCAATGTAGGTCTAGGTCAGGGCGTCTCTAGTCAGCACTTAACTATGTGGTCAGCCACATCCAGGAACTGCACGTTACCCTTCGCTATACTAGGCGCGTGTGAGTCGTCAGAGAACCGCCTCCCTTGCTAGGAACCGGGGGAAGAGAGGGGAGGGAAGGGGGTTGATGACGATTCACGTCGTTATTTACTTAGGTAGGTTGCTCGTAATCACTGGTTTCCTAAACAGACACGCGCGTGAGCGTCTACTTTTAGGGTTAAATACACTTAACGTAAAAGCTTCTAAGCACACACGCACTCTCTCACACACATTCTCAACTTCTCAACATGTTGAAGTATATGCGAATGTATCTCCAAGACTTTTATTTTGTCGACTACTACGAGAAAATAGTAGGTAGTAAAATGGCGAATGGTGGTTGGTTTCCTCTCGTTCCTCCGTCCCTCCCCCTTCCCTTTCCCCCGCTCGCCGCCCCTTGATACAACACCGATATATCTAGATCCCGGAACTAGCCCATACGCCTTATCCACAAAATGTGATGATATCGTTACCATCCACCCCCCAAAATGAAACGTAGTTTCCAGAGACGCCCGGACGATTACAAGCTCTTTGGGAGGGTTTTGGAGACAGACGCGCCGGTTGGGAGCTCGTCTCTGATAGGTTGATTAATCCCAGAAAAGTCGACAACAGGCATCTGGACCATCCTCTGCGCGTCCCCTCCGGTCTGCCCCCTTTCCATCCCGGGGTATCAGTTATTTTGCCAAATCCATGGTCCCAACGCATTAGCTGCGGTCATTACATTATTGGAAAACTTTTTGATTCAGAATATATCGCATCGGCCCACAGCGTTTCCCTGTCGCGAGAACCCATCGCTCGGAGAGAGTATACGGGAAAAAAAAATGCAAATGCAGGCAGGTTGGTTGTGTAGCTCGACAGAAAAATGCACAAGTAATGATACACAAAATCCTAGAGCGGGGCAGAAGAAGAGAGGAAAGGAATTTTGGGGACGAACTGCCTCAATAGACAAGTTCGATCCCGTCGCGCGACCTCAAAATGGGCATGGTTGGCCGGCTCGCCGCAGCCGTGGGCGAGCCGGCCAGAGAGTTAAGTTATTTTTCCTGGTGGTGGTGGTGGTGTAGGTGACTCGTGTAGTCCTGAGGCGTCATATTCTGAGTGAATTGGATCTGTTTAGACCTCGGCTGGTTGGGAGACGACTTTGACGAGCTGACGGACTCGTTGGCGTCCCAGTCGAACTGGGTGTTCGCTATCGAGTTGTGGCCGTACGTGACATGCTCTTGGAGGGAGCCTATCATGGTAGGATATAATGGCGTGGTAGGGAGGCTTCCGTCATTGAGCTCAGCGTAACTAGGCACATTGCGTACGCTGAGGTCGGTGAACTCGGGTTGGAAGTAGGGAGTTAGCAGAGGCTGGTCGGTATGAAACTCGACTCCGGCCCCAAACGGATAATTAGGATTACCGAACTGTGTCAACAGGCCCGGAGTGCTTGGTGGTGTCTTTAGGTTGGACTCGGCTTTGAATTCTTGTATTAGGTTGGATGCCGATAGTCTGCCCCCTAGCAGGAACGAGCTGTCGTCGGAACACGTGGAAGATACCGTCGGTTCCCGCATGGCTTGCTGTTCGACAACCACAGGTGTCATGGGAGTCGGGGGAGCCGCCCCGGGGAATGTCGCCGTCGCGGGCCCTATAGGTGATCGAGAGTGATAGTGATGTAGTAAGACTTCGGGATTGCGGTTGAAGAACATGGGTGACCGCGGGCCGGCGCTGGACTTCTGGATGCGTCCGTGGATAGTACCTGCAGTCGAAACAATTCGTCTCATTGTCGCAGCAGGGCTTGAAGGATCTACCCTCTTAGACCCGTCCAATGCAGTTTTGGGCCCACAGCCAAAATTGTGAGAACGACTCCTTAACGAAGCGGTCTGAAGCGCAGCCGGCCGCGGGATATTTCGCCGCGAAGCGATATTAGCAGGAGGAGGGGGCGACTTGAACGAGTCACCCGGCGTTGTCATCCCCTGAGCCATGAGACCCGACACCTGTCCCTCGCTCATGGGCGTAGCGACGCTGTCGGCGTGGCCCGTCATCGTGTCCATAGGGCTCCCGCTCAGCACCGGCGTACTCATAGCTGTGTGGGTCGGGAGGTATGGCGCAGCCGTCGAATTCGAGAAGTCTGCGTCCATCATACCTGAGAACGGACGCCCAGCGTTCTCAGCATTCATACTCAGGCACTGCTCGCTGGGCGATGATAGATTACTGAGTAACCTGGCCGACTGATCATCGCTGCTAGCGATACCAACATTCTGTTGTTGAGAGGGGAGGAACGAGGAGTAGTTTCCCACGGGTCCTGAGTGAGAATAGTTCGAATGGATGGGGAGGTGGGCAAAATTCGTCACTTCCGCGGGTGAGAAATCGAACGATAATGGGGACTGGAAATCGGTAGGGACATCGCTTTGGTGGGAGCCGGAGTGGTTGTGCAGTGAAGGAGAACCGGAACCGTCCGAGTCGGCGGAATCCTCTTCGGGATTCTCGTTGTCGCCAGAACCGTCCGTCGTCTCGGAAGAACCGTTGAGGTCAGGGAAGGGAGCCGACGAAGGTTGCATGTGCTGGTGGACGTTCTCGCCCGAGTGCTCTGACGCGCCGCTCGATAGATCTTCGTCTAGCGGGATAGGCTCGGAGCTGGCCTTCTCCGCGGCTCTACGCGCCTCATACTCCTCCTGTTTCCGCTCCTGCTTCGCTTTGGCGCGCCGATTCTGGAACCAATTCTGACCACCCGAGGTTAGTACCATAGATCAGGAAGAAGAGATGGGATCTGTGTGAAATTACATTAATCCTCGGCCGTTCTAGCCCGAGTCCATCTGCTAACTGCGCCTTCACCGAGCTCGAAGGTTTGGGATTCTCCTGGAACACTTTCTCCAACTTCTCAACCTCCTCCTTGGATAACCGCGGCTTAGATTCCGTCTTGCCGTCGCCCAATGTGTTCCGCTCAGCCAGAAGGTGGTGATTGCGAGGCTGCTGGTAGCCATACATGTACTGCAGCCCGGGAAACCCATGGTGAACAGGGTACTGGCTCTCGGTATACTGCTGCATGGGGTTCCCTTGCGAGTAGTTGAAAACCGGAGCAAAGCTCGTGTGAGCGTGGAAGTGGGTGTTCATCTTGCTCTGCTCTCAAGCCCGACGCCCGGATGATTAAAACGATATGTGTATGTATATATAGAATTCATATAAGTTCGGGGTTGTCGACAGATGCCCTCGGATTTTCGACGTGTCGACTGCGAGACCGCGCCTACTGCTGCCGGAGCCTTGCTGCTGCTGCTGTTATCTGCGGCTACTGTCACTGTTACTGTTGCTGCGGCTGCGGCTGCTACTACTACTAATGCTGCTGCCGCCTGGCACGCTCTGATGTCGGCGTGCTTCGTAACCAGGACGTCCCGCGAAAGACGACGGCCGGCGGTATATACACGGGGGGAGCGGGGAGAGGGACCTGGCGTAGCGGTTGGTGCTGCTGTAAAAGGAACGACTGGGGGTCAGATGCCTGGGAACGCAGGCCGAAGAAGATTGCCGAGGAACGAATGTGGTGGTAAAGCGAAATCCAAGCGAGGTTGACGCCGAGAGGAGTCCGACGGGGTCGAAGGGACGGAGCGGGTATAAGAGAGAGAAGCAGAGGAGACAGAGAAGCTGGATTAATTGCAACCAAGCCAGAGTGAGACAGAGCTCAGTTCGAACCCGCCGAGGACTCGAGACCAGAGACAAGCAGGATCAGGATGGAACAAAAACAATACAGGAGTTGCTGGAGAGCGGGAAGGGAGAGAGGGGGGCGGGCGTGTAGTCAAGTAGTTGTAGTAGACGGTGGGTCTCGTATGGAGCTTGCACGACCAGCGAACCGGGAGGTGTGCAGGTACTTCCGCGGTACGGCCACGAAATTGGGTGGAGGTGAGAGAGGCGAGGGTTCGACGAGCGAAAGGGACGACGGGCGACGACGAGCGACGAGGGGAGGCGAGACGGGTTTGACGGCTGGCACTGGTCGCCGACAGGGTACCTGAAAGTACCAGGGAGAGTAGGGTTAAAATAGGTACTCGTAGGAGGTAGCCACCTGGGTGACCTGAGTGAGTTACCTGAGTTACATAGCCCTGGGCTGGGTCTGGGGGAAGGACGTCGCTCTCTCCATATTGTCGTGTTTATTATCCATCAGATCTGATGCCCCCCGTCCAGCGAGCTGCCTACCCGTAGCGCAGACGCGGAGCTTTTTTTATTATTATTATGAGCAGGGTAGCGCTGCTCAAGCGCTGACTTGGCTGGTCGGGCCCTAGCTTGGTTGCGCTGGTGGCGGTCCCCAGCGGTGCCCGTTGGGGCCATTCGCAGAGCCATTCACAGCGAGAGATACCCGTCTCACTCGCCCACACCCACACGCATACCCACACACGCGCATGCGCCAGCAGCACGTCGCTCGAACGTCGTCGAGGCTGTCTCGTTTTCTTTTTTTTTTCTTTCTTCTTTTGCGGCCACACAATTAAACCCCGAGGGAGGAGGCGGCGCTAGGGCGACCAGAGGCTGGAGGGGAGCAGGGAGTGAGTGGGAGGGGAGGGAGGAAGAAGCATGGGGGGGTGGTGGATTTGGAGAGCGATAGAGAGAGAGCGAGAGCGAGAGAGAGGGCGTGAGACAGAACAGACCACACACACCCACGCGCACACATACACATACACACACAACACCCGTACCTAGCGAGCTGGCTTGGTTGCTAGCTGCGCGTCACCAGGGGCACTCTCGCTGGAGGTGACGAGCACAAATTCCCTACACGTATGCATGCACACAAAGGTACCTGACTCTATAGTACAATACACAGCAGCCATGTGTATGCATCAAGATACATACATACATCTGCCTTAGGGGCCTAACCTACCTGAACGCGATCTCAGTCGGTCGTGGGCGTGGGCGCGCGGGCGTGGGCATGGGGGAGAGAGAGCCTTTTTCTCTCCTTCCTCTCTTTTCTCTCTCTCTGTCTCTCTGTCTCGCTCGCTCACCGATCCCGTTCCCCTAGCTGCGAGCTTCCCGCCTAGCACGAAGTGACGGATGCAGACCGGTTGACGAGGGACAGCCCAGCGGTGATTCCCACCAGATGTGTACAACACATACATCGCGCGCCCAACTGGCCTACACCTCCCTGGTAGGGAACTGCTGGCTGCGTCTGGTATAGGGAGGTACTGTACTTACAAATACCGTACATCCGAATACGTAGGTACCTACACCTAACCTAATGTACGTACAGTCCCCAGCACGTATTGGAGATTCCGCCACACTACATAACCTCCCCAAGGACAAGCGCCAGCGGCTGGGACCCCCTGTCCTCGGGCCTCCCCCTGGCCTTTCCCCCCCTCCCCGGGCGACTGTATGTACAGTATGTATGCATGTGTGTGAGCGCGTGTGTGTGGTGTGTGTGTGGTGTGTGTGCTATGGATGTGCGTTAGGTACCTAATGTAGGTACTACGTCGTGAATACAACACTAGATGCGCGGTACATGTTACCTGCTGCACGAGGTCTGGCTACCTAACGTGAGAAGGTTGTCTATCCGCATGCATGCATGTGTGTGTATGTGCCATACCAAGCAGGTAGCAGCAGGTGATAAATGGTGACGGGATTGCGGTAGTTGTTGGAGAGTATGAGTAGGGATCTGTCGCCGTCGACGGGAAGACCTAGATATGGGATGATGATGGTTCAGGCTTCTTCTCGCCTCGTGGCCTGTACCGGCCTGTCCCCCCCCCCCCCCCCTGATCGATGCGGGGGGAACGGTGAGCGCACGGTGAGAAACTAAAGCAAGGTACACGTCTAGAAGAGAAACCCTACGCTCCCTTCAGATTAGGAGCGACGGAGGAAACGAGAAAACCGCCGCACCAGTCCACAGGGCAGGGAGCGAGCGAGGGAGCGAAGTAAGTGAGTTGCTGGGCTAAGAAAGGGATGATAGAAAATTTGGTCGCATACGTAGTGCTGAAAGCGGCCCTTGCAAGGTTGTTGGCCTACCTGAATCGTTTTTTTTTTCTTCTCTTCTTTTTCTTCTTCCTCTCTCCCTCCTACCCCTGTCTCTCTCTCTCTTGGACGACGAATCCCTCCCATCTTGCGGATTCGCACTGTGTGGGCTGCTATCATGTCTCCACCGGGCTGCTGACAGCTGTCAGAACTGGTGTAAGTGGAATCATACGTGTGCCTATATTCTCTACGTAGGTAGACGTATTCCGGTGTCATGATGGGGCCCTCTCATTATTCGTGCGCCTGTTAAGCTCGGCAGTGAGGGGATCTTATGACATAGCACACCTGGGAATTTCATTCACATGGTTTCCTGAGGTCGGGATCGTCTGCCATACCGACGGTGATCGGGGACTAAGCGGTGCTTATATTACTAACACCCTATCATATATAATACCACGTTTGGGCGGACCCGTTACCGTACGGAGATCTGGGTTGGTACGAAACAGATGATGCTCTGCCGCAAATGGAATGACAAAGTCGTCGTCGTGATCTGTTTCGGTATGTGCTATGTATAGCAGGAGGCTATTATAGTCAAATACCGACTGGTTGCAACGCTCTATATTGCAACGACAGTCTTAGTCTAGCAGCCGTGTAAGAGGGCGGGAGCAGACCGGGAACACGAAAGAGGGCCTCTAGCGCACTCTTCTGGCAGATGAGACGCCGACAGAGGTGGAAGAGCCTGCCGTTCCCTACCTACCTAGGAAAGCCGCCAAGGAACTGCTCCCTCGTCGGCTTACCGGCCGATAGTGGGTGGGTGTAGGCGTCGACGTATTCCAGATATCCAGAGTTGACTCGTCACGTTCTCGGCAGCCAGGTTGCCGTATTGTGTTTCAGGAGACTCGCCTAGCAGAGAGCGGCCGAATATTGCGCGCGGGATGGTGGCCGTGACAGACGCAGAACTCGTCTCGAGCCACCGACTCGCCAACCAGCCAGCAAACCTACCCTCCTCACTCTGAACGGCAAAGACAGACAGACTAGCAGGTTCGGTGAAGAGCCCGCGCGTACGAACCAGGAACCAGAGCCTGGAGACACGGCAACCACCCACTGCCACGTTGATAAAGCCGCTCGCTGGCGATCCCGGCGGAACCATGGCGTCACCGCCGTCCACCCAATCCCACGTCAAAACTGACTGAGCACTACGACTACGCCTGCACACGCGCGCGATTAGCAAGAGGTATGTCGTATCGCACGTTTGCACGTAACTAACGTACCACGTAGGTACCGGCTGTACTCATAGGCACGGCTGCTGAGGAGGTGCCTGCCCAGTAGATCCGGGGATACCTTGCTGCCCATCCCATACCTTGGTCACGCCCCAATCCAGGACCATCCTGGCCCACAGGAACCTTGCGATCGGCCGCTCTGAGCGGGTGGGTCCTTCGCTGCCCTTTCGGGAAAGGCGCGGTTTCTGGCTGGGCTCCATAGATTTCCCTTTTGGACGGGAACCTCGTCGAGGTTGGCAGGGGCGATGAGAGAATCGGGGCGGCCATGTCTCCACAGGGCGGCGCTGCGCAAGAGAGGAGGTACAACCAAGGTACTCGGCCAGTTGCGCAGGCCGCCAGGCGAGCCGTCGTAGCCGTATTGTACCGCTCTCTCTCTCCACGCCCATCCGGCCCGTCACGGTTGCTGTGCCTCCTTTTCCCACGCACCGCGGGCAGCCAGGACTTGAGGGTTCCTGATAGGAAGAAGCTAGTAAGGCAGGCAGGAGCTAGACAGGGGCTAGGAAGGGGGAAGCCTCCCCTCCCCCCCCCCCCTTTCACGTCGTCGCTTACCTACATTCAGGCCCCTTTGCTTAGTTCGCGCTTTGCCCTTTTCACGCACCAGACAGACATCCGCCAGGTTGCCACCCGCCCCGACAGACCTCGGGACGTGTTGCTGCTTACCCTTGATCATTGATGAGTACAGCCGTTTTCTTTCCCTTTTCAACTAATCGATGATGTGCGGACATTGATGAGGTAAAGTCAGAGGGAACATCCTCTCCGGTCTGACTCGCGGCCGCTTCGGGCAAGGCGCTTCGCCTCGTTCTGCTTGCGAGCCGCGAGACACGCAGACACGCATGTTGGTGATAGATACGTATAGCCGAGAGGGGCTGTCCGAGGTAAGCGAGGCCGCCTGCCCACCCGCCCGCGCCCCGACGCACTCCTAGGCTCGATGTCGCCGTGGTATATGCGTGAGAGACGCCTTGCTTCTTGCGCGATTGCATATGCCGGACGACAGTTTCATCTCGACGCCGGCCATTCGACCACCATCTCGACATGGGAGGGAGGGGAAGAGACTCCACTTCGGTCTTGTCAAGCGTCAAGCAAGCCCCCTTGGCCACATCCGGCCTCGCAGTGTCGAGATGCCGCTAGGCCGGTTTCCCCTCGCTGCATCCTTATCTTATACGATTACCATCGGTACCAATGTCATCATATCGACAGCCACGTTCCGGCCGGCGGAGGAAGAGAGAGCGAAGGAAATGACGACAGCGTTCTACAAGTTCCCAGACGAATATCGTGAGCAACCGAGCACAACCCAGTGTGGTAGGACACTCCATCTTCTCTTCCGCCATGCAGGGTAAGCCGAACCAGCGAACCTCCCCCAAATCAGAACCCCCTCTTCTCTCCTTCCGCTCGCTCGCCCACCTTTCTCTCTTCTACACATATGTTATGGCTGACTCTGTTTGACAGCACTAGTGCCCTAAATCCGATGAACGAGTATGGTCAGCAGCACCTCGTCGACCAGCGTCACACTACCTTGGGCCGGACACTGCCATGTCTGGGTCCTACGCGGCGTGAGCGGTAGTCGATGATGGATTATATGTATGTGTGTGTGTGTGTGTGTGACAATTGGCCCCCGGCCTGCGAGAGGATCTTCGAGTGGTGATGGCCCTCGGAGGATTTTTCTCAAGAGTGTTGAACGCGACAAGATTTGCACAGTACGAGAACAACCCGTCCCCTCGACGATCCGAAGGTCCCAACAGCTCGGTGCCGATGGGAGATGGCAGTTCATGGCGCGATAAACGGGATAAAAAGCTATCTGCAGCTTAGCCTTCTTCCCTCCTCCTCCTCCGCCCCCTTTCACCCGCTCCGCTCTAACTCAAAGTTTCTCCTACTACGATACGGCCAATCACCAAACGTGGGACGAACCAAAGTCTCATGTACCTGGCATCGAGAGACTCTCTCTCACCCTACGCATGTGGTAAAGTGTTAGTTGACGAACGCTCGACATTAGATGAACTTTGTCTCAAATGCAACCGTAGGTCAACGACGACGTCGCAGCGATATATGCTCTCCTAGCGTTCCATCGTGTTGATTTTCTTAAGATGTGCAATATAGGTAGGCCGGCAGCTTGGTACTGCCGGGGGGGAGGGCCATGCTGGAAATTTGGGGTTTAACTTTTACCAGGGTCGCATTAGTTCCCTTGTAAGCGAAAATCGCCAAGCTGAGCCAGAAAGCTGGGACGCTCAGACAAGGGTGAACTCGCCAAAAGATGTCGTTGTCAAAAGTCCCCCTCAGCCAACTCAGCCAGTATAGCCGTATCAACCATAAGCAGAGGCTCATAATCATCACCTCCCAGACTACCTGTCCTACCGGCCATACCACGTCGACAATCTTCGCTCTCGTCTTCCGAAGAACAGCTGGCCGAAAGCCATACTGGCCGAGGATGCGAGCCAGGGCATTCGATTCGACGCCTCTGCGGACCGCTCGTTACAGCGCTCAACCACTTAGGTGGTACGACTCGAGGTACGCGTCCCCGTATGGGGAATGATTATCGGCTAGCCCAGAAGTCCGGATAACCTTCTTCACGGAGTAGGACAAGTCCCAGCCCATCACTTGTCGATCGACCTAGGGAGACGGCAGCATGTACGTATGTATCGGCATATCGGACGTTCTCCTGAGGATCGAAGAAAAAAATTATGGCGATATCTCCCCATCTACATCAGATCGCATCCGAGCGATTTTGCTGGCTGATTTCTGCCGCGGCCGCGAGCGGCAGCCTTATTTACGTGCGCAATGGGGTATGTAGGGTGCCGAATTACGTACCCCCCTGGTCGGTGCTGCTGCGCTTCGGCGTAAGCGTCGACCCGAACTCGACATCGCCGACTTGCCCGTTCAGCAGTTAGATTTCTCTTGTTTGGCTACTCTAAGCGCAATGCAGGCGGATTTCAGGAAGAGTGCCCAACGATCGGTCCAATGATCCTGGGCAAATTCCCCATCATCCATTCGGGTTCGATTGGGCATTTGAGCGTAGCCTCGAGTGATAACCATACCATACATATACCTATGCCCTCCAATCGGCGCCGAGGCCTCATCTGCAGAGGGAGAGGGAGTATGGGTGCGCCCTTTAAGCGCGGTGGAGATTGACGATCCAGGATGCAACGGCTGTAGCCTGACCGGCACGCATCTCTACGCAGTCACAGCCTCCTCTTCTCCCCGTCTCACTCCCACTCTCACCAGCACCAAAAAAAAAGGAATTTCAAACCCGCCTTCATTTGATCCATCGTCATTATCATTGTATTCTCCGCACATTAATACACACCTCGTACGGGCCCATACATATACAAGCACATGCACAAACTATCTCTCCCCTGTTATACCACGTTATCCAGACGTACCTAGGTGGTATGTATATGTACAGTACCTTGTGTATAGTCGCAGAGAAACGTTCGTTCACCCAGTCGCGACGGAGGTTCCCGTGTAATTACGGCTACCAGATTTCTGGCTCGCCCTAGGAAGGCTTTTCATCCTATCCGTACCTGGGTCATGATTCGTCGAGACGACTGGATCTTGGCGAAATGGTGAAAGACGATTGGAGAGAGTACGTTCGTTACGGTGGAACCCCAGCGGCTTCGGCGATAGGGGGAGAGGAAGTTGTGCTTTTAGCGGGCGATTTCTAGTTCTCGTCCCCCCCCTGCATCTCCACCTCGCGTCAGGTATGTGTACATATGTGCGGACTTACCCTTGGCCCCCTTATACTCCTCAAGCCCCCCCGGCCCCCAGCTGACTTGTGCACACACTCTCGCTGACGACGTTGGCGGACAGGCAATGCTTAGATGGTCACCGGCGCCCAGAGCCAGCCAAAAAAATTTTAAGTGATCAGGTACAGGGCATCGTAGATTGATATACGACGTCTTCGCGTGCTGAACACGTTGACGCCAGGGACTTCACCCCCGGCGCACCGATTAGTGGATTCATCATTAACGACCAGCCCGGTCAGCTCTGGAAATCTGACGGCGCCGTGGTTGGCAACGGTGTCCACCGCAAAGGTACTCCAGTCCAGCGTTTTACTAACAACTTGCATGGGCTTTCCAGCCCATACGTAGCATATGTAGTCTCTCGAACGTATCGGCGGACTCGATCTCCAAGACCAAACACAGCAGGAAGAAAGAAACGAAAAAGACCACCGCTTCGCTTTTCTCGAGATGGGGTTTGGCCGAGAAACACCAGGAACGGAGACTCGAATGCTCCGGCTACCCCTTTTCACACTCTGCTCCGTTTCTCTCTAGTCTTGCTGCAGGCGCCATTTTTAGTTGAACACGAACGTCGCACGTGGGGATGGACTTTGTCCTGAGGCACATCGAGCAAAAGCGAAAAAAAAAAACTTCCCCCGCCCCCCCCCCAAAAAAAACCGAAAAAAAAAAACAAAACAAAAGGGTGACGCGTTGGTAGCCCGTCAATTCGTTTATCCCATTTTCTATCGTGTTCATGTTTCTCAGGCTTGCAGTGCAACCTGCTCCGTCTTCAATTCCGGCGCTCACCACCTCTCACTCTACTACGCCTCCACTCGCCACGGGCTCTCGTGGGCTCGGAAGAGAATGTCCCGCATGCGGTGCTAGGCCACATCGTGGACCGCTCCCGTGCATCTGGTGGTGGCTGCGTAACTCAGATAGGTGGTACTGCTGCCGGCGACTTCGAATGGAGGCCTAAGCCTTGAAGGGGGGAGGGAGGGGGCGTTAGCACGCCAATGGGCCGTGGCTTGTTCGCTCGCTCGTCGTCTCGTCGTCACAAGTTCCAGACCGTCACGCTCCCAGCTCATATCTGCCGGTCCATGGCTAGCGATGGGTTCCGGCGCAATGGCTCGCCCGCGAATTAGCACAGGTGAGTGTCCAATTGCCATCAGCGGCCCGAAGGCGATGGATGGGCTTACCTACCTCCTAGCCACTTCGGACGGATCCTTTTCAGCGTAGCGCCCAGCGGAATAAGCGCACTGTACGGTTGATTGATTAGCTTGCAGGGGTCTGTTGGGGTCATTGCGGTATTCCCTGGCCCCGGCGGCCACGTGGATCTGACTTTAATGACAAGAGATCCCCCTGGAACTCGAGCGGAATGGCTTGCGTCAATGCGAGGTACCTCGAGGTACCTGACCGGGGGGGGGGCCGGAGAGAAGAGGGGGGGGCGAGAGTGATGTGGAATGATACCGGGAAATCCTCTGGCCATTAGACGCGTATGAGTATGTACATTACCCCTTTCTCCCGCCGCCTGAGGGCCGTCAGCCAAGGACGCATCGGGATATGTACGAGCGTATGTGTGCAGGAGAGTACCTCTTACACATAGGTTAGGTAGGCGGGAGAGGCGAGAGGAGGTAGGTATTCCGCGAGAGCCTATAATCCCGGTACCTTGCCCTTCACGAAAGGGCAACGTGATGCGATGCCTAAAACGCTTCCCAACTCGTCGACGGAGCCCTTGACGAGCACTAACCCGCGCAAGTATTGCGGCATTCGTCTTGAGACATGGGCAAATTGGGCGCTCTGCACGCCCCTTATCGCGCCAGATCGACAGCGTGGGGGGTGGCTCTGCACGGATCCATCTCGCTCTCGTCCTGTCGTTAACTAGGGCAAGCATCTTCCTCCCCTCGGCGAGGAAGCACATAAATGCGTGCATGCATACAAGACAGGTACCTACAGGTAGATCCGGTACCTGCCTAGGTTAGGAGGTAGGTAGGTATCTACCTAGAGGTAGAGTGATCTCTTACGAGCCGTCTCTAGCACATTGCGCGTAGGCAGCACTGAATAACCCTACGGTATACCTAGGTAGTTATGTACCTGAAGTGTCCGTAGCCCGTCCGCCCGTCCGTCGGTCCGCTACGGCGTTTAAGGTTAACTGGAGCGGGTTATAGGGGTCCGGAGCAGGCACCTGGCCACGTACCTAATTTAAGGTAGGCACTTGTAGACGTCGATTGACCGCCCGAAACTCCGCCGTCGCACGCGGCCACTCTCCCTCAGGTAGGCAATCGAGCCCCCCTATTGCTACGTAAGCAATTCCAGCGGGAAGATACCCAAGCCCGAGATCTATAATACGGTACGCAGGCAGATGCCAAATGCGATTGGTCATTATGGGCTGGGCCCCCTCTACCAGGTACCTAAATGCCACCTACGTAGGTACGTTTATATATACCTACCTACACAGCACCTAATAGCAGGGGGAGTCCACTGTGTAGGCCGAGGTGGTATGGTATATGTACGTACTCGAATGTATAATGTGCGTAGGTTATGTACGTGCGTCTCCAGAAATTACGAAGCGGGAACGCGCACCACAGAATCCGTTACCGTGTCTGTTCCCAGCTCCGCCTTAGCCGCCTCTGCCTACAGCACAAAGAGGCTTAGGGTTGCTGCTCTCTGGCGGGCCCGGACTAAAGAGGGCGTGTCAACTACAACGGCCGACTCGGAGCGAGCGCAGGCGGGTGTAGGCAAGGTATGCGTGCGAGAGACATCGTGGAATTGTAGCACGCCAGCGCCCATCTCTCGTAGTCGTCGTGGGACGGGCGCGTCGCATACTCCGTCCCTCTTCGGTGTTGCTCTGGCGGTGTATACCCTCTGCGTATCCTCCGTATTGTCGGGGTATATTTTCTGCATGTCTTCACATACGAATGGGCAATGTGTATAGGCAGGCAGGCCGGCCGGCCGGCCGGTATGCAATGTATGCGCACGGAGAGATTAATGCTCCTGGACCCAGATGTAAGTGAGCGCTCGAAAATGACGGAATCGGCCGTCGTCACTTCGACAGCGGGAACTAATGCGAGCTGCTGGAATCGACTCAGACGCCCAAGTAAATCATCCAGCATTAACGTGACATCTGATCCCCGAGGCTAATGCGCATGTCTCAAGAGTCTATCTACTACGTTGCATATAGGTACCTACGCCTAGCGTTTTTATTTACCTATTTATTTCCGTTAAGAAAAGGGAGGAGATGAGGTTGTCGAGATGGGATGAGATACGGCCAAGCCTCGCGCTGACGCCCGCGTCCCCCAAGTACCTACAACGGCCTCCCACGACAACAGCAGCGACAACCATATTATTACGAAGACGGCAAATAACACGCGCGGGTTGTCGTCCACACGTAGTCCGCCTGTCCCCTTTGGTCAGGCCCACTCGAAAGGATGCCTGCCTGCTAGTTGCAGTCGAGCAGGGCAGGGCAGGCTTCTGCACACTCCGTCCCGCTCCCGCGCAATGCCGCATCCTCGCCTACTACCCTTTGATTACTCTCCATCTCACTCGTCTGCTAACACCGCCCTCCTCCTATTCTTTTATTAGCATCTCGTTCCTGCAGTAGGGCCGTAGATTCGTGCAACATGGCCATAGCCACTTCGCGCCTTATCCCGTAACAAACCATGGCGACAAATCAAAAATAAAATGAAAAAGAAACCGAAGGAAAAAGAAAGGGGGGGGGGGGGGGGAGGGAGAGGAAGAGGAAGAAGAAAAGGGCGGACGGTAGAGACTGATACCTGCCCTGCTGAGCTGTTAGTGATCCCGTCGTTGCTTTTCCCTATTCCCAAACCCACAAACCCCCCTGTAGGCGGCGGTGATCCAGCCAGGACAACTAACACGGCTGTGACTTTGCAGGCATCTTCTTATTCCCCTTGGTACAGCACAATGCCTATTGTACATGCACATACTAATACGTGCATACCATTCCCACCACCCTACCTACGTAGTCGGGGCTCCCTGGGAACTCCGTGCTCCAATCACTCCTCTCCCGCAGAAGGGCTTGGCTTCCTCTGGCTGCGGACGGACCCAACCGGAATTTGCCTCGACTGTCTTGTCCCGTCTGTCTTTGGCGATCCCTGATCTGAAAGAGAAAGGCGAGAAGAGAAGAAGAACAAGAAAGAGAAAAAAAATACCCCCGCAGAATGCTTAGGAGCGGTTATGCTGCTGGGAGATAAGCCCCGTGTAGGCAATGATGGAAGGCAGCCAATCGTCGATCATACCCGTCACTTCCTCCCCCCCCCCTCCCCGCGTCCACGACGTCTCCTCTCCTTCACAGAACTCCCTAGACCGTCTATCTCCCCCGCCTTGTCTCGCAGGCCGATCTTTGCCTACATAGAGGCCGATGGGTCACGTACCGGTCACGCAGTCTCCAGCTACTACGTCGGGCTTCGCCAAGCAGTCATGGTTACTCAGGTCGGCGACCAGGCAAATTGACAACCTACGAATATCACTTCTTGGCAACCTCACTTGGCGTCCGCCGCCTCCCTCCCTCCCCTTTGCCCTTCTGCAGCTGGGGGGTGATGCTGTGCTCACCATTCACCAGGGAAATCGCTGCATGTCTTGGAGATCGTTTATCCGACCAAGCGCCGTGCGAGACGGAGGGCCAGGGAGGAGAGAAGAGAGAGAGAGAGAGAGAAAACTTGCCTCTACTCAAATCTCGTGTGCGCGACATACGGCATGTCATCGCCCACTCAGGTCCTTACAGTCCTCGCACCTACTTCACTACCTTCAGTACATCAAAAGCGATCGCGAACTACGGTACCTACCTACCTACGGTGGGCAATGTAACCCATGCACACACACACATCCCTACGTGGCGGCAACGCCTCTATACATACCTACATACATCCGTACAGAGCCTCTTACCTCCACAGCGCCGGGACCATCTAAGATATCCTTCTCGCCGCCGCCGCTGCTGCTGCCGTCCTTTTTTCTTTGTCTAACGCTACGCAAGCTCTTGCCCATAGCCACGGACCTGGGAGGGGTGGCCCTTACACATACACAGAAGAGAAAAGGAAAAAGAACATCGGAGAGAGAAGAGCTCACGACCCTGTGATGTACAGGAAGAGGAGGAGGAGGCGGAGGTAGTCCGTGTTTCCCTATACTGGAAAACCCCCTCCCCTCCCCCCAGTGTAATTGCGCTTCCGAGTAGCAGCCGAGACCTACGGCAAGCGTACCCCATCGACAATATCGACCTGATTTTGCCGTATTCAGCTATCCCAGGCGCAAACTGATGATAACTATTGTCTCTTCCTTGTCCCCTCTCCTCTAATTAGGCCGAGAGTGCAAGACGTCAAATATGTGCGTGCCCATATGCCTACATGCATACCTACATACCTACACCATACCTAGGCATAGGTATATAGCTAATGGCCATTATGAGCAGGGTTCGTGGAGAGAGAACGCACATATATGTGTGTGAGAGGTATGTATGTAGGTAAGTACCTACCTATCTAGCAACGGATGGGCGCCAGGGGGGTCTTCCGCCCTCTTGGTCCGTCCCAAGTTTTTTTCCTTGGGGGGGGGGGGGGGAGCGAGGGTTAGGGAAGTCATCGCGGTTTGTTACCTGGCAGTTCTGCCGGGGTGGGCAGGCGGACAGGCAGGTAGGTATACCTACTATCGTTTGACGATGCCGTCTCCCTCTCTCACTCTCTCTGTCTCTCCTGGTCTCCTACATACGCCCGGGACCGCCAAGGCGATCCGCCTTACGTACGGCCGGACGATTGCCGTTCGGCACAATCTCGCGGTGAGCGATCTGATCCCTGGCCAGATATCACAAACGATCGGCAGAGCTTAGACAGGCCCCCCAGGGCGGCACACGTGAGCGCGAGCAGAAATCTCCCCAGGGCCGGTCCTCAGGCCAGGATCGTACCACGGCGCTTCCCCCCCAGCGCCTCTCCTTCTTCTTCCTCTTCACGCGCGCATGCTCTCTTTTCGATAGTTGCTCCGTATGCGTATGTAGGCGGGTAAATGTGTGCATGCAGTGCATGCATGCATAGACCTAGGTGAGCGAAGGGGAAGCGGAGTGGCGGCGGCGGAAAGAGAATAATAAGGGGAGAAACTGGATATGGAATTCTCCTTTTTGACGATCCCGTCATCACGGCTGGCTCCACACATCGCGTCCTTTCGAATGCCGCGATCGCGAATCCCTCCCCGGGTGTGGAGATCGGTGGTTTTTGACAGGCGGCGGCGCGGCCTAGCCAGCGATGTGAAAGAGGGTTACCGCGACTACATGTGCATACCTACGTGCGTACATGCATTTGCATACATACAAAATACGCCGGAAAGGGGAGGGGGTGGAAGAGGAGCCGGCGACCGATACTGTAGATCACGGTCTATCTCTATGTATGTGCGCATCCACATCACACACTACGGGGTAAAGGAGGAACCGGAGGCCTATCATGTCTCACATCAACCTGGTTTCCTGGCGACGGGTATGCTCGTCATTGACCGTCCGTGGGGTCTCGGGAAGCTCCAGGTGCCGAAGAAGCGAAGAGGGAGAGGGGAAAAGAGAGAGAGAAAGGGGGGGGGGGAGAGTGCGAGCGCGTGTCCGAGTAAGTGAGTACTACCGCCGAGAGAGAGAGAGAGAGCGACGAAGAGACAACGAGAACCAGGATCGTCGAAACCGCGAAACCACCGCCTCTCCAAGGAGATCTATCTCTCCGCTACGCGATGCCTGCCTGCCACGCTCTGCCCATGCCAGTCCGTGGACGACTCTCGTATGGCATGTCATGAATACCCGCCGTCGCATCGTCTGGGTCCGCGGGCGCAACGGCAACGAGTCGAGCCCCCCCTTCTCTCTCATCTCATCTCATGCCGTCTCGTCTTCATCCCACCACTAGCACCACTACCACCCCCCCCCCCCCCCTTCTCGGAGCTTTCCTCTGCCCTGCCAAGGGCAGCAGCAGCAAATGCCGAGGCCGAATAATAATCAGCGGCGGCAGCAGCAGAAGAAGAAGCAGAAGCAGAATGATCGCAATCACGGCCGCGGGCTAGTCGGGGGTGGGGCGTTGGGGGAGAGCGAAGAAGAAGACGACGACAAACAGAGAGAGGTAGGTAGGTAGAGCTGCGAAGTTCCGATAGTGCTGGTGATCGTCATTAACGCATCCACCGCGCCAAGACGGGGAGGAGGATTAAGCCGCCCCACCCCAGGTCCAACCACATCTCCCCCCCAAAGTGCGCGCGGCACTTATGGATGGATGGATGGATTGTTGGATGTACTTACATGTAATGTGTGTATGTGTGTATGTGTGTAATGTCTGTGAGTATATGGACGTGTGTACGTACAGCAGTATACGAGCCGGTCTTGGCAAGCCTCCCGTCTTCTTGTCGTTTCTTGTGTTTTGATTTTGATTCTTTTCTTTTCTCTCTCCCTCTCTCTCTGTTTTTTTTTCTTTCCATCTCTCTACACACACCTCTCTCTGTGTCCCTCTCTCTCTCACTCTCCTCTTTCTCTCCCTGTCTCGTTGCCCTGGACGTATCCCTTCTTCTTCCCGCGCATTGTGGCGTGACCTCTCTCGTAAACTATTATTATTATCACCTATTTCCCATTTCCTATTTCCTATGTAAGTCGCGAACGCATTCGCGACGCACCCCCCTGGGGGGGGGGGGATGGGGGGAGAAAGCTTGGCGCTCGGCCAGTTACCATCTTGGCGGCCGGCCGTCGATATAGACAACCCAGTCAATCCTGCAACATCTAATCTCTCCACCGAACCCGGCCAAAAGGCCACCCCCGATCTGATCTCGGAGATACCATGTGAGCCTATGTAAAAGTACGTGGATTTGATGTCTGTGTGTGTATGTATGCTATGGATGCATGCATGCCTAAGTGAGGTCTAGGCACGTACGGCTATGCAGAGGTATACACGAGGTACCGAGCGTGGGAAAAAGAGGCGTAATAGACCTCTCCTCCTCCCCTGGTTGAAAGTCTGGCCGCCTCGTCTCGTCGTCCAGTCTATCGAGTCCTACCCGCGCTTCGCCCCCCCCCCCCGTGCCAGCTAGCCGCTCTATTTCCCTCCCCTTCCCGGATGTAGCCCCCGGCGTGTCCGTGGAGGCCCCGATCCCAGTCTATATGCCGATTAAGGGACCTATAAGTGCGTGTTTTAGGACCCAGACGACGGGATGGCACAAGGTCTGGCCACGAGCTCGTACTCAACAAATAAAGCCTAACCGCCCCTTCCCCCTTCCCCCTCCCCCTAATAGCGGCGGTGATAACGACGGTGATGATGGTACATCGCGCGCCTCTCTCGCTCGCTCTCTTTCTCCCTCTAGTCGCACGTACGTGCGTTCGCGCGGCCCCGGTGACCTCTCGGTGTGACGCTGAGCCACCTACGTTATATCACTTCAGGAGAGTCACAATTTGGGCAGGGTTCCTGCGCGAGAAAATGAAATCGGAGAGGAGAGAGAAAGGTCCAGACCACTAGTCTTCATTTCCCAAGCTCGGCGATCATCTCCCTCCCCCCCTTCCCCGTCGTCGCCATCTGCCGCTACTGCATGCTCTTGCTGCTCTTGCTGCTGCTGCCGCTGCTACTGCTGGTGCTCTACCCCACCCGCTGCCGCGGTGAGGGAATTCGATATCTGCAGCGTCACGCGGGAAGCGCTGGCGGCCCCTGGCGCGTCGCCGCCGCCGCCGCCGCCGCCGTCGTGGCGGACCAGCCGGACGGACTGCAGGTCCCGGACGACCCAGTCCGGGCCGGCGGCCAGCACCTGCTCGGCGGTGTGGCTCGTGACGAGGCCCAGCACCTTGCACCCGGCGGCCTTGCCGGCGCGTATGCCGGCGGGGCTGTCCTCGAGCACGAGCACCGCGCCGTCGGCCGCCGCGCCGCGCCTGAGCCCCAGCTTCTCGCGCCCGAGCGCGTAGCACTCCGGGTCCGGCTTGCCGTTGGCCACCGACTCCGCCGTGACCAGGTGCTCCGGGTGCGGCAGCTGCAGCACGTCGAGCCAGCCCGTGACCAGCGGCGTCGTCCCCGACGTCACGATGGTCCAGCGCGCGCCCGCGCCGATCAGGGCCTCGAGGAGCGACCGCGCCCCCGGGATCTCGACCGCGTCCTGCCCGTGCAGCTTCGGCAGCAGCGACTCCATGTGTCTCACGTCTAGCGGCACAGTCAGCGGCACAGTCAGCGGCGAGCGGCGGATCGGAAGGACAGCAGGAAGGGCGAACATGGATTTGCGGCGAGAGGGGTTAGGAGGTGGGAGAAAAGGGGACAGCGCCCTGAAGAAGGGGTCAAAGGAGAAATTAGGTAAGGGGTGAGCGCCGAGCCGCGGAAGCTATGTGTCTATCCTACGTCACTCAGGGGGGAAGGGAGGGCGCGCAAGGGAGGGAAGACGAGTTTCCCCCCGCGACCCTTAACCGCCCCCTCCCGTTCTAGAGACGGGGTGCCTGCGTAAAACATGGCAGACGGCACGATCGGCCGGCTTGGACTTACATTCCCAATTGGCCTTCTCCGGGCTGAGCACTTTCAGAATGTCTATGCTCCGCCGGCCGTGAGAGGTCTGCAGGATGACCTCGGGGTCGACGCCGATCTCATTTCCGACGCTGTTCCCTCCCCCAGGGATGGCGGGGGAGGCTGTGATTAGGTCCGGATCTTCTCTCTCTCGAACTAAGGGGTGCAGAAGAAGAGGGAGGGTGAGGAGAACCCACGTGTTCCAATGCTTGACGACTGCGGCCGTCGAGTCGATGATAGTCCCATCCATGTCGAACAGGAGTCCCTCGAAGGAGACCTCGACCGGCGGTGCGTTGTATTCCATCAGGCAGCGACTGTGGTCTTTTCTCCGCGCTTACTCTCGGTGTGCGTAAATAATCTCTCTCCGTCTGTCTCTTCTCAGGACGCCCGCAGCAGAGAGGGTGAAATATCACAGAAATGAGTGAGACACCGCCGGGCGAGTTGAGATTGTTCTGTTGGGAAGAAAGATTGTCTGTTGTGTCTACGTCGTGCAAGCAGAAACACGCACACAACACTGGGAAAATGCGGTGTTACCTAATCCAGGAAGATGCAAAAGGGCGGATTGTCGCCATACCAGGCTAGGAAAGTCCGCCATGTTAGCCCGGTTATTACTACTGTTGCTACTACCGTATTCTATTTTTTCCATTATAATGTTTTTAATAGAAGTTTTTAGTCGTGACGATTGGAGCCATCTTTATCGGATGTCTGCCCCTTAGACTCTGGTGAGAGAGAGGATCTCGTCCTTCTCCCTACTTCGAGGGGGGTTTTCGGAGTCTCCTAAGTGAGTGGCTGGCGGCTTCGGATACCGGCTCTTATCGATAGGTAGGTGGGGAGTTGTGTGGGGGGTTCTTATCCGCGGCGGTGAGACGCGGCAGAATGTCATTTTCTGCCAAATTCGTCACTTTTTGTATCGAATTTGACATCCGCGGCTTCACTCCGTCCACAAATACCCACGAAAAACCTGCCGTAGTGAACCGCTGAGTCGAAATGGCCAACAGCATCAATAAGCCGAAGAGTACGTGCTACAAAGATCTCCTCTATTACAACCCTAACTCGGATTCCGGTCAATTGTTAACTAACTTGCCCTGTCCAGAAGCAAAGTCGAAGCGGACTCCCGTCCGCCTACGGCACAAGATCGAGAAGGCATCGGCTGCGAAGCAGCGCAAGGCTAGGAAACAAGCGAAGAAGAACCCGCAATGGAAGTCCAAGCTCAAGAAGGACCCGGGAATCCCGAATCTATTCCCCTACAAAGAAAGGATCCTCCACGAGATTGAGGAAGGGAAGCGGAGGAAGCAAGAGGAGCAGCAACGGCGCAGGGAGTTGGCCAAGGCGGCGAAGACGGGGACCGCCACGGAACCGGAGGATGTCGAGGGTGCTGTGAGCGGCGCTGAAGGGGAAGACTTTGCCGAGTTTAACGACGACCACGACGATGCGATGGACGAGGATGACGTCGATGATGATTCGAACCCCATGGCCGCGCTTCTAGCTAGCGCGAGAGCGGCAGCTGAGAAATACGACCGCGAATTACAGAGCGGCGACGACATGGATGAAGACGGGTCATCTGTCGGTGGCGATGGCGATGGCGAGGAAGGCGGTGCTGAACTGCGCGCTCAGGCTTCGTCGCGGAAGGCCCACGACAAGGTCTTCAAGCAAGTGGTTGACCAGGCCGACGTCGTCCTCTACGTTCTGGATGCGAGGAACCCTGAGGGCACGAGGTCGAGGGAGGTTGAGAGGATGGTGATGGCCGCGGCGAGCGGCGGTAAGCGCTTGATCCTCGTGCTTAACAAGATCGACTTGATCCCCCCCCACGTGCTCAAGGGCTGGCTTGCCTACCTCCGAAGATACTTTCCTACTCTCCCCTTACGTGCGTCTGGGCCCGCCCCCAACGCGCAGACTTTTAATCACCGCGATCTCACGGTTCAGAGCACATCCGCCACCCTCTTCAAGTCTCTGAAATCCTTCGCGGCTACGAAGCAACTCAAACGTGCAATATCCGTCGGCGTCATCGGGTATCCCAACGTCGGCAAGTCCTCCGTCATCAATGCGCTCCTCTCCCGGCTCGGTGGCCGAGGCGTGGCTTGCCCCGCGGGTGCCGAAGCAGGAGTTACAACAAGCATACGCACCGTCAAGATCGATAGTAAGCTGACCCTGCTGGACTCACCCGGCATCGTCTTTCCTTCGGCTCCCAACGCCGAGCTATCGACGAAGAAGAACCCCGCCGAGGCTCACGCCCACCTCATCCTCCTGAACGCTATTCCGCCAAAGCAGATCGAGGACCCGATACCTGCAGTCACCCTACTCCTGAAGAGGCTGTCAGCCTCACCCGACCTGCTTCAGAAGCTGATGGATGTCTATGACCTTCCGCCGCTTATACCCTCCTTCAAAGGCGACTCTACGACAGATTTTCTGGTCCAGGTAGCCCGCAAGCGCGGAAGGCTAGGGCGTGGAGGCGTGCCAAATCTCACCTCGGCAGCCATGGCAGTCGTCACAGATTGGAGGGATGGCCGGATACAAGGATGGATCGACACACCGGTATTCCCTGTCGCAACCGAAATCATCGCTAAGATCGGCGAAGTGAGCCAGGGCATCCCCGGCGTCCCCGCCGTCATGCCAGACCAGAAGGAAATCGTCACGGAATGGGCCAAGGAATTTAAGCTTGAAGGCTTGTGGGGCGACGGCGACGATACACAGACAGACGTCGCCATGGAGCAATAGTACGGCTATGCTACTGATTTATTTGGGGTTTCCCGAGGTGTGTTTGCCCGTGGATGTCGGCACGAAATTTCCGCGAGTTAGTTGAGGAGTTATGGGTAGGGAAAATCGCGGCTTTCGGGCATGCCGCTTCGTCGTTTCCGATAGGCAGGTTCTATGAGCATACCAGGTGTCTTTTACGAAGTCGAGCTGTGAATGCGGAGAAGCTAAATAGGGGTTCCAGCATATATATCTCTTCTAGTCGCCAATTAGGAGCGTGAACACAACATAGAGCCCTTTTAACGTCTGCTCCCGCAAAAATTTCCGTACATTATGCGTGTTCTTTGACTTGACTATACTGACTTTACCGACGGCATTACGCTGTCGACTCCAAGGCTGGGCACATTTTACTCTCTACAAATCCCGTCACTAATATGCATCGTCCCCGTTCTGGCCCTCGTAGCATCCCCCTTGGATTCTAGTTATCCACCTACTCCCTCTCCCGTATAGCCCCTTCCTGCTCCCCTGCTGGGCCCGTAGCTGATGACACACATTCTATCTTGTGCGGCGTGAGGGAACGACACCCGGATACTAGCAGAGCCATACCCGCATAACGAGAACCTGACCCACGTAGAGGGGACTGCTAACTTTTGCTCTACTGGCATCTTAGGCTAGGAGGCAGCATTGGACAGCAATCGCACGCAGCCATCTTAGCAGGACTTTTCCTTAACTCCCGGTTTCTGCGCAGTCAGCTACGCGATACATCTCTCTCACGTATGCACACATCGTAGATTCAGTTCCTAGGTGCCATGTACCTCGGCCCCGATATGTATACAGGTACGTCGGTCCACAGCTGCGCGCGGATTAGGGTAAAAATACACAATAACGTGCGCCGTGTTGTCATAGCGGGCCCCATCTCTATCTTCTAAGAGGCGATGCCTCGTAGCCATGATTCATACATTGCGAGCCAGGAGATCGTCGTACGTCTGCGAACCTCATGTGTGTCATCAGATCCGCCCTTTTCGAAGGAGCAGATCAGCGAGGAAGGGTGTTGGTACGGCTCGTAGAGTCATAGATATTGGCTTGGTAGTATTAGATATCTGACCACCCACGCCGGCCGGACTGGGAGTCTTTTGTTCTTGCACACTTGACCGGAACGTACGATACCAGTTCATGGCTGAGAAATCTGGAGGATCGATTTTACTACGACGATGTCCGACAAAAGTGCTGTATGTAACACAGGTAACGGTAGTGTCTCACAAAAGACGGAACTCGAGAAGAGACAACTCGTGACTACTTAGCTCTTACACGGCTCTACGTAATATCCTCGGAACACCACCCCTCGGCAGGGACTCTGCAGGGAGACCTTGGTTGAGTTGCATTGCATACCATCTCCACGGAGATCGGTATCCAGCAACGCGTTAACGCGGTCATCTCGAGTTGGAAAAAGTCCAGTTTGTGTCACTTTCTCCTCTCGTAAGTTAAGTGTTAGTTACAAAGCCATCAGAACGTGCAAGAATCTGCGAGGATGGCGAGTCCCTCTTCTCCCGACTGTGACTGTGACGGTGACTTGCCTCACCGTCAAGTAAGGTATTGCTTAGACTATCTATCTCTGAAACGCTTAAACAAGCCCCTATATTGGGATCTCACCGGCCGAATTTCCGCTCCCCGATTCGGACGCGTCTGGTGGCAACAGGTCTCTAAAGCTGTTCTTGGGCCGAGTTCGTTGCCGTCAGCTACCTACGTAGCATCCCGAATCTCGCTACGACGAAGCAGTTGAGACTGCAACTCTGCAAACTGCAACCGGCACGAGCAAGATGACAACGTGCAACCCACGGTGCATTACAGGTGAGATTCCTAACGGGTATTGACCCTAGACTTAGGTCAGCTGGCAGATCCCTATATCTCTCGACGTTGACGCAGGTACCAACCCCATACCGGGGGGTCCGTCATCTCGATATCTTACTAAGCCGAGGCCTTACAAATAACTTACTATTTACGTATATTCACAGTGATCGTTCTGATGGCCTGTAGCTTGGAGTACTCACAGGGTCGGCTCAGTCTCGCAAACGGAGGCGCTAGGTCGCCCCCCGAATCCGAGATGCCGGGGGGTCCGGGGGGCTATAGGGGCCGAAGGTTGGTGGTGAAGTAACCTGCCTAAACCGAGAGCGGACCTCTAAGGCGACGACGAACCGTAACTCACAAAATTAGCACCTCTCGCTGACATTGCCACCGGTTAAAGAGGATCAGGGGACACCGATGTCCATTGTAGGATTAGGTTGCAATTGGTGAGATTGAGTAGGTGAGCAGACACTTTCGGTTGCAAACCATTGACGCCTATTCCCGCCGTGATTTCTGAGTAGGGCAATAGAGTGCGTGATACGAATTATTGAGTAAACCCCTTCCGAAGAGTTCGCGGGTAAGTCTCTTGCAAACTGCAAATACGCTAGGTCTTACCCACTACCGCCCAATAGCCCATGTTACGGTAAGCTTGACCTACTTTACCACATATATCCTTTTTTTTATATTGAAGACTCGGTTCACGGGACACAATCCCCGTGCTGATCTCGCGTCAACCGACGACGCCCTTCTCCATCGAGCTTCGGGGGGGGGGGATCATATGATTTGCGGCTGGCGGGATTCCGGCGAGGGACAAAACTTCTCGATCTGGTTGTAAAACAACACACGGCTTACGTATTAACACTTTGGACTCCGCCGTTTCACAGAACCCAGAGAGGGTAATCCGGTCATCCTCCCAAGAGAAGTTCACGATTTGGAGGGGAGGGAAGACGACCAGGGCTCGCCAGACCCCAGTAGTAGTTGAGAGCAGGGAACGTCGAAAGCCGAGTGGTCCAGTGATAGCCCGCAACGGCGTGTTTCCCATGTTCCGATTCGAACCCGTCCTATCAACAGCTCCGGCCCCCAAGGCGCTAAGGGTAAGCAGACGAGGGCGGCATGGAACTGGGTAGCTCTCTGTGTGTGTGTGTGTGTGCTGGGATGCGTACCAGTAAACCGTGTATGCATGCGTATTGGAGTCTCATCTAGGTAATCTCGGCGGCAGGTAGACAAGCACCTAACTTACCTACGCAGGTTGGGGGGGTAAACCCGGCGTAAATCCGTCGTCTCTCTCTCTCTCTCTCCTACAGAGGACCGCGGCTCGTAGTACCCATAGTTGATTAGCTTGCCCAGGAGCTTCCGCGCTCCGAAATTCGCGTTTTGCCGCTTCGAAGCTTACCCTACCCCTCCCTCCCTTACCAGCAGCCGTGAGAGGATACCTCGCCGCATACATACGTACACAGGCCGTCGCGGCTGGGTGGGTAAATAGCCGACCAGCTAACTTACCTACGATCTCGTCACGCAAGTATCTCCAATTCTCAGCAACCGCTCCCCCCTCCTCCCCCCTCTTCCCCCCCCCTCCCCTCCCCGCGGGGCGCTCTCTCCCGTCCGAAAAGGGGGAGGGGGAGGGGAAGGGGGAGGGGGGTGAGGCGAGAAAGCGAAGAGAGGAGAGCAGTGAAGAGGCGGTGAAACGGAGGGGACACACGCCGGGGGCATCATCGCAGGGCATGTCGAGGCCGAATCTTGGTACCCAACCGGGCGGACGGGACGCGATCGAATCTCGCACGTTGGCGAGCGCCCCACCGCCGATGACATGCCTGCCTGCGCGTATCGGCTGGCCAGTTGATCTGTTCGAACCGCAGCAGCGCCTGGCCGGGAATCGAGATGGGGGGAGGAGGAGGGAGGGGTTGGCCGGGGCGCCGTGCACACCTACCTGCCTACCCATCTACATGCTGCACAACACACGCCTACCTAACCTACCTCCCTAACATCTACGACCAGATACTCACTCCATCAGCACCTGGACAGACTCGACTATGCCTCCCCAGGGAGGGTACAAGAAGAGTCCTATACCCCTGCTGGCGCAGAACCAGCGACGCCGGCTGCCCCCCCCCGAGGCTCGGCTCCCCTCTCGGGCACGGCCCGGCTCGACCGCAGCTACAGGCTCGCGTGCCGCGTTACGACGAGGGATTCGCGGCGTGCCTGCGCCCCAGCATCGCGACGCGCAGAGGCGGCGCACGCTGCGTAGGTACCTCTACCTACTAGAGCACGCGGACGTGCACGTCTACGAAGGTAGGTAGGTAGGTAGGTAGGTAGGGAAGTACGAGCACGGCGCCGTACCTACTATACACAGGTAGGCGCGCCAATAGCGCGCGCCGCGGGCAGGGGTGGCGATCCGTCGGCGCGGATTCGGAGCCAGGACGAAGGAGGAGGCAGAGCTGCTAAGCCGGTCAGCCAGCCTCCCGCCGCACGTCGAATCGCGAAGGAGAGGGGTTCGTAGGTAGGTACCTACGTGACATGTGCAGACAGACAGGCAGACAGACAGACGCCTGGAGATGCCATGCCTACATACATACCTACATACGCACACGAGCACGGATGGGGCAGGATTATGTCTCAGCGGCGCGCGTCGCGGCACCACGGGGTCCCCTTCTATTGGCACAGGGCGGGGCTGAGTCAGACGCGGTTTTGCGAGGGCGCCCTCGTTCGTCCAGCCATCGACCTGCCTGCCTACCTCCTAGCTACCTAGCTACCTAATACCCGGGGCCAGACTGACTTGCTCCCCTAGCCTGTTCCTTCATGTAAGTCAGTAAGTAAGTAACATGGTCGTGTATGTGCGTGTGGATAGGTAGGTAGGTAGGTAGATGGATGGAGGGATGATGATGGAGGGATGGTAGGTAGGTAGGTGTGTAGGTATGTATGTATGTATGTATGTAAGGCCTACTCGCTTGGCCGTCATGCACGACCCGACTGACATACATGGCCTCTCCCATCCATCCATCCATCCATCCAGCCATCCCTCCATCCCTCCATCCATGCCCCTCCTCACCCCCCCCCCCCTCCCCAACGCCGCGGCCGACAGACATGGCATGCACGTACACCCGTCCATCCACCCCGTTCGACCCATTCCGCCCATCCCATCCGTTCCTCAGATACGCTGCTCAAGGCACACACACACACACGCACGTCCGTCCCTCCTCCTCGCAACTCTACGACCTGTCACCCGCCGGGTCCGAGTCTCTGGAACGTGTGGATGCGCCTACGTATGTGTGTTGTGTATGTACGTATGTATGTATGTACGATATAATCATACTCCCGGCTCCTACCCATCTCCGATACCTCCTCCATGTGTATACAGGCACACACATGCATATGTAGGTATGTATGTACGTCTGTACGTTATGTGCGTTATACCTACGCCCACCCACACACACACGGCGAGGGACACACACACACACGCAGAGAGACTCCCACACTTAACATCCCTACTACATACATACCCACAGACACACATACCTACATAATTTAGCCCAGTACGCAAGCCGGCCAGTAGTGCTCACCTGGGGTCGGGGCTCTCGGTTGGGGGGAACGTCCCTTGGATTCCGTCATACCTATACCTTGCATACCTAACCTAACCTTCCCTGGCCTGCCTGCCTGTCTGCCTACCTACCTGCCTACCTAGGGCAAGCAGCGCAGGCCGCGGAGCTGAGAGAGAGACAGACTACGCAGTCGGATAGCGTAGCCGTGGGACGGCGCGCAGAATAGCCGGTTCTGGAACCGCCTCGCAGTATCTCGCGTATCTGGGCCGGAAGGAAGCGGGCTCAGAGGGGGGGGGGGGGTGTGGAGGAGGAGATGGGGAGGATCCCAGACGTCGATACAGAAAGGAGAAAAGAAAAAAAAAAGAAAGAAGAAGAAGAGGGGGAAAGCAATGCGAGAGACAGGAAGCAGAGAGACTAGAGGCAATAGTACACGGCGCCCGGGGAACAAGCGAGATCCCCGGCAGACGAGGGCTCTCTCTCCTCCCCGTACGAGCGAGAGCGATCGGCGAGGTCGTGTGCTTCCCCCCGCCGACCTGGCGCCCCGACGGGGTCCCTATTAGGCATGTAGATTCCAGATACCATATTCCCTACCTACCTGCCTACCCTCCTATACCTCTCCGTCCACAGCGTCGTCAAGCGCGCCGGGCAAGGGCAGACCGTGCGTAGGTATCCGACGGGTCTCCTGGCATGCAGGCATAACCTATGGAGCTGGTACGGGGAGGGGGGGGGGGGGGGGGGGGAGACCAGGCTGGAAGCCGAGTGGGCGAGGGAAAAGGGGCGGGGCGAGAGCGGGAGACGTTGGTGCCGGCTCGAGGCGTCGTGGCGATACGGTTTGGGATAGAGGCGATAGGGGGAGACTGGCATGCTATGCTCTCTCTCTCTCTCGCGTCGAACCGGGCGTGTTAGAAGACAGTTCGTGCTTCTGTTTTCCCGGTGTCTTGCGCAGTGCGTGCCGGCTTGCGGCTGCGCGACCTTTGCGACGCCGTCGTCCGTCGTCCATCGTCCGTCGTCCGCTCCCGGCCTCCCCTCTCACCGCCCCTAATAAGAAAACCCCCCTTTCGCCCGGCGATGCCGGAATGCTCCCCTTTCCTTTTCCCCCGGCCCAGGGGGACAACGGCCACAAAGTCCTCTCGAAGCCGTGGACCCCCGGGGGGGGGGGGGGGGGGGGGGGGGGGTATATCACAGGGTCAGGGTCCAATTTCCAGATATAAGTATATTTCATTGTATTGTCTCGTCGCGATTCTGTGTATCCATCGCCTTCCTGCGCGACTCTACACCTTGCGCCGACTCCAGCAGGCGTCGGTGTAACAATAGAAAAGGGGCTCTTTTGAGAGGTTGCAAAAAAAAAACAAGGACACTCCTTCCCCTGTCCACTTACAACCGACGTTTCCGCGACGACGATAATAGTAGTGATAGTAAATAGATAATAATAAGGCGGAAACAACGAAAAAAGAAAGATGGACAAAACCCAGTAATCCCTGAACGATGCAAATTGAACCCTCCGAATCCCCCAGGCGAAACAATGATGTTGCTCAACAAGACAGACAGCCTACCCGGGCTCAATCAATGAGCAGAGTCTAAGCCGCCACTCCCCGATCGGAATCCCTCCGATCCACGGTTGTACCAAGGCCCCCTCCTTTGCTATGACCGAAAATTACTCGAGGACCAGTTGAGAAGAATACGTAAGAAGTGAGAGACTGTGTGAAACTCCCCCAATGCTAGTCACCGTATCGCGTCCAATCTCGCCTGATAAACTGGGTAAGCCTATCTTGCTGCGGAGGGGGGCAAACAAAAATCGAGGTTAGGAGAATACAAAGGAATACGCAGAAAGGCTCTCCAGCCTGTAACGAAAAAGATGATTATTAAAATAAATAAAAACCCCCTCCTGTCATCAACGCAACGAACTTGACGCAATGCGACGATCGCAGGCGATTTTGCGCATATCAAGACAACAGTGACGTGAACACGTTGGGTAGTCTCGAGATACCGTCCTCCCAAGCTGATTGCTTCGCCGTTTACTCCCTAGAAGAGGGGAGAGGGGTGTTCTCGTCGTAGTCAGCTGGATGATAGGTACCAGAGCCGTGTACGCAGCATAGCGATGTGGCGTGCGAGACCGAATGTAACGAACCGACGCCCTCGCTCGCGGCCGTCACTAGCATATAGATCGGGCCGGAGGGAGCATCGTCTCGTGAGAGGAGGAGGCCGTAAGATCCCGTGGTGCGCAGAACTCGATCGCCAAGGCGAATTGCGAGCATCGGTGGTATGAGGGGGTACCGATATGAACGTTGATAAAATGATCAAGTGCCAAAGTCGCCGGCAGCCGAAGATTAAACCCGAAATGATGATAATAAAAACCCCAAAAGCAGGTTAAGCGAAGGGCGAGGTGTAAGAGGACACTGCGGAAACGACGAAGGCCGCCGTTGTAGTGGTATCAAAAAGGTCTATGCAAATGCTGTCCGAAAGAATCGAGGGCCGGCAATGTGACCGACCGGCCGTGGTCCCATAGCGCAGCGGAAGATGCAGAACAATACAGCCTACCAACCCCTCTGTTGCCCAAATGAACGTGGAATCCAACGGAATCCCCACCATGCGAGACCAGACCGTTCCTCCGACTCCTCTATTACCGGACCAAGCCAACTAGCCTAAGCAGCGATATAGTCACATCGAAGCAGAAATCCGTCCCCATTACGTGAAAGCTCGGTGAAGGTGGGCCGGTAGGACGTCTGCGCCGACGAAAACGAGGAAATGAACAAGGGAAAAGCAGGACAACAATAGCGAGACGTGTAGCTGCGATGACGGGGGACGGGCCTGGCAAGATCCGGCCTACTCGCGCCCCCCTTTGTTCTCTGTGGATGGCCGCGCCCTTTCTCACCCCCGTGCGTACAGCCTCGGCGCGCTGCGGGCAATCTATCATTGAGGTTGGTTCGCCCACCAACTGCCCCCAGCCGGGGTTTGCGGGTTAGTCCAGGCTGACGTGACAGCCGGTCCCTGGCCAGTGTTCTGAGGCATAAACTGCCTAGGCGTCTGCTCAGGAGGGTACATCCCTTGCCCGGGGTTGGGGTAGCCCTGGCCGAGACCTTGCATCCCGTGGTATTGCATGGTGCCCGGCTGCATCTGGGGGGCGCCGCTCGAGTGACGCAGTTGAGGAGCCGACGACTGCTGGGGGTGGGGCGAAGGCTGCGACTGAGTCGTGTAACCGGAGTAATGCTGAGGCGTCTGCGGCGTCTGAGGGCCCCACATCTGATTCGAGGAGCCGTAGTTGTACGCTGGGTTGCTCGAGGCGCTTGGCTGAATGTTAGACGGCCGAGGCTGCTTCTGCGACGAGGGCTGCGGGATCCCCCGCATCGGCGTCTGGCTCATGGGCTGCTGAGAGTGGATGGACTGCGAGTACGGCGGCGCGGTTATTATCATCTGCGGGCTCTGGTTGGGCACCATGCTAGGCGTCTGCATGCTCGCCGGGGTGGAGTGGGGTGACTGGCCGGGACGGGTCGTGGGGAGGGAGGGCTCAGTCGTGACGGGCTGCGTAGTGGGCGGCTGGTCGTGAGGTCTCCTCCACAAGTTATTGATGTAATCGGACCGGATCTCGCGCTGGTGGTTCACGTTCCGGTTGTAGTCGGCGGCGTGATGCGCCTGCTGGTGGATCTCCGCCATGGGGCTCGACTGGGTCCTGTCCTGGTAGGCGGGGCCGGTAATCTCCTGTCTCGGGCCACCCTTGATGAAGTTGTTGTAGTCTCGAGTCCTCGTATCGTTCAGATCTGGTCCTACTGTTATCATGGGCATTCTGGTCGAGCTCCCCGGCGGTCCCATCATACCTGGTTGAACGAGCGGCTGCTGCGCACCACCAAAGGGCGGAGGATTTGCGTAGACAATCTCGCCGTGGGGCACACCCGGCAGCGGCGGCACGCTGCTATTCGCCTCAGCGGCGGCCTCCCGGACCTTGGATCCTCCCGGCCGCTTCTCCCCTGCAAGGTCTGCCTCCGTGAAGCCCTGCTTCCGCGCCTTCTGCTCCCAATAATCATCTCGCACTCTCCGACCGTTGACGATGACCCTACTGCCGAACTGTCGGAACATGGACCGGGCTGTCACGATGGCGATCTGTCGAGACCGGTACGAGAACGGGAGGATCTCCTGGGAAACCAAGTCGTCCTTCTCCACCTGATTGGCGATGATCTTGTATAGAGACCTGTTCTTGTTGAAGAGCAGGTACGAGTCTCGATAGCCGAGAACCCTCGCACACTCGGTGGCGAGCATGAATAACTTGTCACCGCGATGGGGGACCAGGAAAGTCCGACATCGGTACTCGCGCCCTCCTAGCAATTGGCCATTGGGCATCACCTTCCTCTCGCCGAAATCGTCGATCTCGCGCGGCAAGTATTCGTCGCCACCGGGCCCGAGTTGGTCGGTAGTATGGTCACGCACGGTTGGCAGGGCCTTGAGCGTCGTCTTAGTAGGCGTCGTCTTTGGCGGTGGAGGCGAGGCCTGGGGCGGAGCGTAGCCGCTGCCGGGCTGCCCGGATAGCGACGCGCTCGGCGCTTGGGGATTCTGCGAGGGGATAGATTGCGACATTTGCGCGGGAGGAGGAGGGGGGATTGATGTTGGGTTCGTCGGCTCGGGGATGTCACCGGGCGCTCGCGATTTCATCGGTCGACCACGTTTTCTGGGCTGCTTCGGATCACCTGCAGCACGACCGACCGTGTTAGCTAGCAGATCGCCGCGGATGGCCCCGTCGCACACGACGAAACGCGCGTAACATAGCTACAATGCGCCACAAGGGGGGGGGGCGATACGGTAGGCTAGTCGGTACGCGAGGCAGGGCTGTGACTTACCATCATCTCCGGGGGTTTCGGACTGCGACGCGTCGGGATACGAGTCCGGAGAATGACTGCGCTTGAGACCTCTAGACGTCGGATTTAATAGTTCTGCGCAACCGAGGGGAACACGAGGTTAGCAACCAGCAGCGACCAAAGCATGCAAGACTCGGCGGGTCGACGCGAAATTAAACAGGGCACGAGAGGAGGATGCTGCGCCGGGCATTGGCCATCGCGACGATGTCGGTTCAGCCAAAGTCGCGCCGTGCCGGCCTAGGGGTGGGCGGGAGAGGCAGGGGAAAGGATGCAGTCAACGAAGGCGACGACAAGCATCGACGACGGGGTCAAGGGTTGGCGGAAGAGGAGAGAGGGGCAGGGAGAGGGGGGCGAAAAAGGATAAAGGGGAAAGGGGAGGGGATTGATGGGTGTGCAGGTCGGAGGTGGCGGATAGACTCTCGAGCATGAGCAGAGGCGATGTTGGTATGCGCAAGGGCGCGGCGCAAAAAGGCTGGGTAGGAGGCAGCAAGTTGGGGGGGGGGGAGGTTGAGCCGACGATTAAATGCGCACATGGGGAGCAAACGACGAGAAGGAGGGGGAAACGGGGGCATAAAGTAATAAAAAAAAGGTACGATATAAAAACAACCACAAATGAGAAAAAACCCCAGCGAGGATCCAAAGGAGGAGGAGGGAGAGGGAGAAGAGGAGGAGAAGATAGAAGGAGAAAAGGGATCTCACCTGGATTGAGCGCGGCAGGATTGATAGTCGCGGGATTGATGGTCGCACCCTCAGCGCCGTTGGGCTGGGTGGAATACATTCGGGCGGGCGACGATGCGATGTTGCACGTCAGGCGCGGCGGATGGGAGACGTGGAGAAGAGGTGCGTGTGTGCCTGCAGAGCGACGTGTCTTGATATAGTTGGGCTGAGGGAGAGCGGGCGGAGGAAGGGGGTGGAATGGCGCGCGCGGCAAGGTGAGCAAAAAGAGGGTGTCGTAGCTAGCTTTCACTGTCCGCTCCGTGTGCGATCTGGAAAGGAACGACAAGCGTTGCGCGCGGCGTCCCAGGGCGGAGGTATGTGTGCGTGGGTGTGTGTGTGCGCGCGTGCGTGTGCGTGCGTGTATGCGTGTATAATGGGTGTGTGTGGTGCGGGCGTGGGTGTGTTATGTGGTGGATGTGTACGGACGTGTGTAGCAGGCTAGGTTCGGTTGGTAAGGTTGAGTGAAGAAGTGTATGTGCTCCGAGCACCGTGTGCTGCGTATGTGTGTATAATGTGTGTATATGTTGTGTGTGTGTGTGTAGTCGTGCGTGTAGTCGTAGTAGTAGTGTATGCCTGTAATGTCATGTACGGCCTGCGTTATGTGCGTTGGGTGGATGTAATGGGGATGTAGATGGAGGTGGAGGTGGTCGAGTGGTATGTATGTAGGTCGCTGGTTTCGAAGAAGGGGAGGGGGGGACGGCAGGGTATTACTCGAGCTGCTGCCCGGCGCATGTGGTTGGCAGATTGGCGCAAACCCTGCGAGGTTCCAAGTCTTTTCTTCGTGTCGTAAGTAGCCAGCTAAGTTTAGTTGGGGTACCAGCTAAGGTTCACACTCGGGGTATGATGTAGGTAGCGTCCCACCCTTCGACGGACCTGGCCTGGGTACTCTCTCGACCGCGTCGTATCGAATGCGACCGGATCGTAGTGCACCTAAGCGGGATGTGGCGTATCCGAGTAAAAATATCTACCTCAAGGTATGAGCAGGTACACAGCAGGTATGCCGCTGGGGGAGGGGCCGCGGACGGTAGGTAAGTACCTCTAGGTAAGTACCTAGGTAGGTAGGTAGCTACCCTAGGTATGTACTGCAGACAAGTGGGCACCACCCAGCCAGGTACATCACCTGCGCGACCCAATCTGTGCCTGCGTAGCGAGAGCTGCCGGTGTACACGAACAGGTACAGGTACATGCGCCTATGTACACACACCGCACTAGGGATGGCCGCTCTACCGCATGTGGTGTCCCCGGGAGGAAAGGATCTGAGGTGTGTATGCGGCGCGGTACGGAGCTGTGTAACCCAGCTGTGATGTACTTGTACTTGGCCGATATAATAACCCCCGTATGCGCTTTTCCACCCAGACGGTTGAATGAGGTTAGGCGTATCAGTAGGTAATGCCCGTAGTAATAGCGGGAAGGCGGAGGAGCGGGCGAGGGGTGTTAGTGCCGAGGTAGGGGAGAGAGATATCGACAAGATAGGTCGCCTCCTTCCTAAAAGTTAAATCAAAAATTAAATCAAAAATTAAAAAAAAAATTTTCCAAGCACCCTATCCGCCCAGATGATCACCCAACCGTTCAGGTGTCTGCTCGCCGTGACGCGACTTGCGTAAGCAGGCAGGCCGAAGGTAACGACAGGGAGTGGCAAGATGAGCAAGTCGTGCGAATGGGATGCGGGGACAGGCCGCGATATTAGTAGAGGACGTCGGAGAGACGTGCGAATAGCGGCCGGTGGTTGACAAAAAGGCAGGTGGGGTGTAGTTGGCTGAATGGCATCAACCGAGTTTGGGGCCGAGATACAGAGCTGATTCGACGCTTCGACTGAGACGTGCCTATGTGCACTAGGAAAGGCGATGGGTGAATGCGATGCCGGCTCGTGCTTCGATAATGCTCTTCTTCTTTCCAGCTCACGTCACGTCTTGTCCCTCTTTTCTCTCCTAGGCTCGTCTTCGGGTTGGTTTCCCCCCTCTCTTACTTCCTAGTCTTGCGTTCTAGGTATCACTTCTCTCTCCTCTCCCGGCTGCTTACTAGTCCGCTCTGGTTTCGGGTTCCCGTCCCGAAGTATTCTTAATTCAGGGAGCTGGCCCGGATTCCTCCTGGGAAAGATGGTGCTGCCGCCTTCGCAAACCCCGCGAGGCTCTCCTGGCACGTACCGGATTTATTATGGTGGGAGTGGGAGTGGGAGGGAGGGGCAGCAGCAATAGGATTGGGTGTTGTTGTTAGTCAGAGGGGCTTTTGCTTCGCCGGGCGCGTTGGAATACGTGCGCAAGGCTCTTCGCGCTCGGTTCTCAGCGGCGTACGTGTCAGAGGACAGTGGTTGGAGTACGGTGGCGGCGGTAAGTGATGGCAGTCACTGCGATAGATTATCAAAGTAAAAAAGAGGCGAGATGCTGATGATGTTGAGAGCTGTTGTTGATTTTGCGTATAGGTAGGTAGGCAAGTATGCTGCTTGCTATTCGCCTTCCGAAGACCAAATGTCGTCGAATTTCCCTACGACTATCGCAAACCGCAAGTGATAGGCGTAGACAGGGCAAGCTGCGAGTTAGAATCTGGGGTGTGGTGTGGCAGCGGATGGCAGCAGCATGTACTAATAAGAGGTTGATAACGACTGGATGGACGGCACCTATGTAAAGAGAGATGGATGGGTGGATCGACGGGTAGCCAAGCCTAGATGGTGTTCTGCTTCTGCCGGGCTACCTCTTTTGGTCCAGGACTAAATAGTTCGCTGTCTAGGGCCGACGCCCATATATATGTATTTATTTACTGGATTATTTGTTTTTCGTCTTTTTTTCTTCTTTTGATTGCGTTTGAAGCTGAACGTAACCCTGATAATCTTCGTTGCTTGGCCTTCCTGGGCTTCCCGGCGTTGAAGTTTCGGGTTCGTTTCTCCTGGGAAGGCTAAGAAGCCAATAATAAGACGGGAAAACAGGATATGCTATGGATATATGGTATGATACCTAGAACAGAGTCGTCTCCAGCATGCTGCATTTGCGTGCTGCAACGACCAGGCAAGGGGTGGAATAGAGAGCGAGAGCGAGAGAGTGAGAGTGAGAGTGTGAGTATGAGTATGTGAGTATGTGAGAGAGTGTGTGAGTGGTTGCGCGTGCGTGTGTGTGGGTGGGTGGGTGGATAGGCAAGAGAGCCAAGTTGCGAAGAGGCATAGCAGCATGGATGCGTACAATGCGATGCGGATTGAAGTCAAACGCAAGAGCGGGTATGCAAGTGCTGGACAGGACCGCGAGCAGGGCAGGGCAAGGACAGGACAGGGCCAGGCCAGACAGATTACGGGTATATCTCGAAGAGCCCCGCGACCCAGGCGAGGATGGAAAAGACGGGATAAGATAGTCGGAAAGCGCGCAGCAACCAAGCAACCAGCGGCAGAGTAACAATATGCGACCATAAATCGACGGGGACGAGGCGGATGGCGAATAATGATGAATAACAGTAATCAGCAGCGCCGAGGAGAGTGGCCGAACAGGCCAAGGGTCCTTGCAAGTGGAACAGGGGGGGAAGAGGCCGGGGGTTTGTGCAAGCCCAGACGCGGACAGGGGCCAGGGCACGTAGACGGTGGGCGTTGCAAGGGTCGGTGGGGGCCTCCCATGCTACCAGCAAAGCCAGGCTACCAGGCAGCTAGGGATACAGGGGGAGAGGAGGGGGGAGGAGGGGGAGGAGGTGGGTTCGTTGGTGAAGCCTGGGGTGTGGTAATAGGCGTGGCGTCAGGTAGGTACATACTATACATTACATATTCACGGATTCAAGGGTGGACCAAGAAGTACGTCTGCAGGATAGGACGGGTGGACGGGTGGACGAGTGGATGGACGGGTGAATGAGTTGAGTGAGTGAAGTGAACGAGTGTATGGGTCCGCGTGTGAACACATGCACATAGGGATGAGGTGGGTAGGTAGGCAGGTAGGCAGGTAGGTTGTTAGGGAGGCATGTAGGTATTCTACGCGAAGGGGGATAAGTCAGGGAGAGGAGACGCAGATTAGAAATTAGAAACGGGGTGGACGGGAAGAGATACCTACCGTGGGTATAATTAGGTGCAAAGCAGGTATGATAAATCAGGTATGATAGGTGAGGTGACTCTAGACCGTGGCGGCCAGTCTGTGGCGAGGGAAGGGCACTTTCCAAATCCGATGGCGAGGAGGCTCGACGGCCATCCCTCTCCCTCGTCCATCGGAAGAAACCCTCAGAGGAGGGAGGCCCTCTTCGGCACCTTCGCTCGTGTTGGGAGACAAGCAGCCGGCCGGCCAGCCAGCCAGTGTCCAGCTCAGCCTTGCACGATGATCTCGAAACTAGACAGACCCAAAGGCAATCGGCACTGTAGAATATGGGCTGAGACGATAAACACTGAACCACGCGGCCGTCGATATGCTTCGGACTTTGGATTTGAAGTCGAGGGGAACCGCCGATCCGACTGGGCGCAAAAAATTCAAAATAAAATAGGCACAAAGCCCCTCGGCCAAACGTGCGCGGTGCGCGGGGCAAAGCCGTTCCGGACGAGGAGGCAGCGAGCGAAGTAGCCCGATCGTACAGCCAGAGAGACGGGTACGGCACCAACCGCTGCTGTCGGCCTACTGCCTAGCGTACCGTGTACGCGCCATATACAGCACGCGGGCAGCGCGCGGGCAGCTCGCTCAGCACGTACTCGTAGGGAGGGTCCTCGTCGGCACGGCGTGGTCCAAGCTGCCCGAAGGGGACAAGTCGCCGCGTTAGCGCATGCTTGTTTTCAGTATACCTATTGGCCACAACGGGGCTGTCTTCGAGGTAAACTACAGGTACAAGACAGGTACAATATCGTATGCCCGGCCCTCCACGCCTTTGCTATAGGTTCGATGCCCAGGGTAATCACCGATATCCCCTCTCCCTGAGAGGCCACGCGAGGACAGGTGTATTTCCCCGGAGCTACGGCGACTTTGGGTTCGATGTCGTCAGCTCGAGTCGGTAGCGGTGCAGCAGACTATCTAATTCCCCAAAACAACGCCCAACGTTAACTGGGAAAGCTTAATCAGCCGGATCCCCGCGCAACTCGCCGTCACTTAGGCGAAGGTGCGTAGGCGCGCACGTAGGCATGCACATATGGCGGAACGTAGATATACAGGCAGGTATCCAATGTGCGTGTGCGTGTACTTCGCCGAAGAACACGTCGAGGGCGCTACCTCCTATTGCCCAGGTGTAGCCAGAGGGTGTACATCCAGAGGGGACTTCCCGTGCCTAGGCAGTGGATGCCGGGACCGCCATCTACCTCCTATCCGCGTAATACATCATCGACTCCAGTTTGACCAATCCGTCGGGTGTCATACAGGTTAGGTATCTAAGTAAGGTAACTTGGCTCTGAGAGGGAAGAAATCAACGGCTAGCGCGGGGGTTTTCATCCTGTGACATATACCTAGGGAAAAATACAATTTCGCATTAATTCCTCTGTCTAATCTTAACAATAACACAGAACACAGGGAGCGTAAGCCGGTGACATTTACAGGTAGCACCGAATGTAATACATAGCATACCTGCGTGGTCTTGGCTAATACTTTACCAACTGCGCCACCTGCAACTATTGGCAAGAAATAGGTAAATACCTCGCTGCGTAAATATGGGTGGCTATTATATATATCTATATATAAAAATACAAATACATCTACATCAAACGCATCGCTGCTCTAGGTCGTATACGTATCTGCCTGTACAGGTAAGGATGTAGGTATACCGTTCTAGTTCCATGGGAAAGGCATCCGGCATAATATGGATCGCGCAATATTGTCATGTAGGCAGATATATATGTATGTACGTATGTACATATGTATGTATGTGTGATTGTTACCTATTATTAGAGCGTGCATCGGACCTGACATTCGTTTAAGGATAGAACTGGGAAGTTGGAACATTTTCCATTTCCTGGAAGTCCTAAAGTCCTTTGGGTACGTTACATACCTGGTGCATGTAGTACATGTACGGATTGACGGATGTAGGTAGGTATAAGGCAAATTTCAGCCATCGGTTGCGTCGGTGGAGTTGCGGAAAGATTTGGGCCGGCCGAATGTTTCAAGCCCGGAGAGAGCCTCTGTCTCTCTCCCTCTCCCTCTCTTGTGCTCTCTCTCTCTCTCTCTCTCTCTCTCTCTCTCTTTCTGTGTGTCTCTCTCCGGACTCCCGGCCGTTAGGGAAGGGAATAAGGTCGTTGTGCGGAGAATGAGTTGGTTGCCGGCACGGATACACGGGTGCAATTTGCGGGTGATTGGTTCTTACCATAGGTACTAAATTGCAATGACAATAAAGACGATGACGATTAGGTGTTGACGGTATTACCTGCATCAGGGAAGTTATTTGCTCGGGCTCCCGTTCGCTACATGCACGCAAGGATGGATTATGATAAGTACTGGAATATGTATCGGTCTCGCATGGGTGAAAATCGCCAGCCGCAGTTCCCGAGCTCCAATCCTCGGTGGTTCTCGTCTAACGGACGCCTAAGTATACAAGTACATAATATTGTCTGGTTGAATACCGGCACGAAAGCCTCTCGCGGACCTTTTCGCTCAATTGTGGAGCAGGCCACCGGACAAACGCGGGCACGATCCTGATCGACCTTGGGATCGGTTTTGAGTGCACACGAGGACAATGCAGAGTTTCACCAGTCTCAGACCAAGCTGCCGGCGACTATGTACGTACGACTCAGCGAAGGTTATATATATTGACCGTTTAGGAAGAGCCGACGGGGAGGGGGGTAAAAAAAATTTATATTTTTCAAAGAAACCCCCCCCCCCCCCCCCCCCCTAATATAAAGAAGGTAAAGGATAGAAAGGAAGGAGGGGAGGGAGGAGGAGGAGGATGAGGAGAACGAGGGGATCGGAAACGACAGAAAATAAATAATGATACAATAGTCTATCTGCCTAGGTAAGGTGGTTTATCAAATCGACGCACTAATAAGCAAGCCGACGAACAGGTACACGATAAGAGACAAAATAGAGTGCTTTCTTTATATTAGCCACAGGTTAAACTACGTTAGGTAGGTAGGATAGAGAGGGCGAGATATTGCTGCAAACCCGAAGCTAGAGGGAGACGTGTATCGTAGAATTCGGAATCCCTGGTTCGGTACTGTACAATCAGCGTGCGTGTTAATCCACATATAATGGATACACACCCAAGTCGCCTGGGTAGGTTGTAGGCATCTGAAGGCAGCCGTGGCTAAAAAGGAGGTTATGTGATTCTGCCCCTCTTCACCGTAGGCTGCCTACGTAGGACAATGTTGAGAAGAGTCCACGGGCGACATACAATTGACACCAGACCAAAAATAAAGAAATAGATGGCAATCAGAGCGCGCAAAGCTGCCTACTCCTGGCGCGAAATTATTCGACTTCTGCTTCTACTTCTCCTCCCCTTTCCTCTTCCTCTATTCCTCAACTATGCATATCGTTATTCCTATCGACACTCCCGCCCGCCACCGTACTGCATTTTCTGCGGGGGGGGGGGGCATCCTTTCCTTTTCGATTTATCTTCTTCTTCTCCTCTTCCTGCTCCTCCTCGTCGTCCTCCCTCGTCATCATCATGATTGTTGTCAATGTTATCATCTTGTAAGTGGGGGGGGGGCGCCTAAGTAGGAGGCAAGTGTTACTACGCCACGTACCCACGTACCCGAGTACAGACCGCATTGTCAGGTACCTCCATACTACATGTGCGTATACTAAATATGTGGGTACCATAGTACCTAGTACGGACAGTAGGAGGTACCTAAGGTACCTAGCGTAACCGCAAGTATGGGCACCTCTTACCCTGGAGGTATCGGTGGGTATTTAGAGAGGTACCTAGAAGGTATCTGGAGGCTAGGGAGGTACGTGGGCAGGCACAGATGTGCCCCCTCCCCTTCGGTAGCCATGGCGCGCCGGCATGCATCCCTCTTTCGCTTAGCTCTGACTACTATTCCCGAGTTTCCCCTCGTTCCATCTTCCTTTTTCTTACCTGCATATCTCAATGCATAGAGGGATTCGAACTACCAACGTCCGAACAACCCAGGTTAGGTCGACAAGATAGACAGGCTTCCATTACCCTACGTAGGGTAAGCTCGGCAGCTTACGGCAGCTCGAGGCTAAGCCGTCGCGAGAACGTCAGCAACGGCAGCAATAGCAATAGCGCCAGCACCGGCCGCGACAGCAACAGTAGCGGGCGGCGACGGCGGCAGCAGCAGCACGGTAGCGCTGTCGACGGCCTCTACGCGGTGTCTCTCTGCTCTCCACCCCGGAGAGTACCATTGAGGCCTCACTCATCCCTCTATCACCGGTGAGGGGATCAGGGAAGTCAGCTGGCGTGTTTCCGATCCTATTGGACGGGCCATGCGGGCTCGGAGATCAATGCCTCGCATTAGTTTATGCTGTTTGATCGAACAGGACACATATCAGCAATATCCGGGCAAAATCTCTCAGTTGCAAAGCTGCAAGGCTGTCGCCGATAGATAGGGGACGTACACGCGAGAGCGGACGTGTCGGCCAGAGAAGCAGAAGGGAGCACGAGAGCCCAGAACCCGTCTGAATCACTGCTACCTAAAGGGGGCAACGGGCTCGTCCTCCTGTCCCAGACCAGAGCGCATCCCTTCCGAGCCTACGCAGAACGCCGCAAGGCCACCATCGTAGCCCACCGCAGCCGGTGGCTATTGTCGTGGGTTAGCTTCTCATCCGTAGTCCGGCGAACCCAGGTAATATTTCGTCAGCACTTGTTCGTTAAACCCCTTTCGACGCCGCAGCATCCTACTGCGCCGAGCACATGCCAAACGTACGTACCCGTCCAGCAGGGAGGGGGGGGAGAGAGAGGGTGAGGGGTGGACGGTTGACTCATATCAAACAAATCCCACCCCATCCGAGGATCGCGAAAGCACGTCGCTTGCCCCGCTTCGGGATGGGTCACGGCTCGAGGCGTCCCTCTGGCTTCTTCACATGACCTACCTGCACTTACTTACCGGGTCTCAGTTCATGGCTTTTGCCGTAAACCAAGAAAGGCAGAGACAGAGACAAAAGAAGAGAGGGGAGGGGGCTATCGCGGATACCGATGTACATCGACGGTGGTTGTGTCTATACATTACGCACGTCCCAGTAGGTATAGTTTTGGCGATAGATGTCGCGGTCTATTTCGAGGGCTTTAGACGATGCGAATTACCCATTCCAGGTCCACCGAATGGTGGTAATACGGCGGCGCGACGGGCAGCTCGGCGGCAGCGTAGCTACTGAGCACGAATCCGTCGCAGTTCTGCCAGGCCAATCGTCCTCGCCGGAGCCACGACAGTGTCCCCTTCATTGGTTCGGCGGACGCCACACCTCGGTGACCACTCAACGAAGCTCGCTTGGGCGAACCTAACGCTCGAGTATCATTACCGGCCACGCCAAGACGGACGGAACACAAACGGCGTAGCCGCCTCTACCAGCTCGATGTTCGATGGGACCGTGCTGTTCGGCAATGTGTGTTTGGCATTCGCCATGCAGACGGGACAGGATCGCGAGCGCGTCGATATCGTACGATCTTTTTTTTTTTCCAGCTCGACGGATGCGGGTTGCTTGTGAAAAAAGGCACTACTCCCACTGGCGGGTTGACGAACCCGTCTCGTGAAAAGACGGCCCGCGACGGTTATCCTCTAGGTCTGAAATCCGCTCCAGGTACCTGTCCGCATACAAGCTACCGAAGCCATGTCCCATGCCGCACTCACTAAACTCCTACAGGGCCTATTCCAAATTCCGCCACCACCTGCACCGCATCTGCTGCTGCTGCTGCTGCTCCTGCTGCTGCCGTGGCCCGGGCATCTCCTCGATGGGGCGTGGAGTGACATGCTACCCAACGGTTCCCATCTTGGGCTCCTCGGTCCGTCGACCTGTCAGTCGATCTGACGTCCCTCTAGGCTTATTTGAGACTGGTCTCCCGGGTTTCCGGTCGAGTGATCAGTTCTTCTTCTAAACCCTTCCCCTCTTCCTGCTCCCCTCGCCTTCTCTCTACTTCGCTCCCCGGTGTCTATCATCATCCGTGGTTGTCGACGGAGGTACATGCGCGCGCACGCGCATAGGCCGCGGGTGTTGTTGCCCAGTTTCTATAAGACAGCGCGAGGCCGGCTTATCGTGGGTTTCGCACCCTCAAGCCTACATACTACGTGCATAAACCCTGTCGTACAGGATCTGCCCAATCATAGTCGATACTCGATGGTCATTCTCATCTTCAGGGTGATCGAACACAAGAGGATACGAGAAGGTAAGTTGGTAAGACCACCCTCCTCCGAGAGCAGAGTTATCCCGTATCGGCAAGGGACTCGCTTCGTTGCCATCCGGTCTAGCGAGCGAGCTGGTCTCACAAAACAGGCTTGTCCCTCCATGGTTCTTTTTTTTATTAAAAAAGAAACCATAGGTATTTCACATAACACCTGAATCTCGTGTAAAGAGGAACCACCGTACATACGGACAATTCTGTGAACACAAAGTTCTGTGAAGTGCTACCTATCCACGACCCATGTGTCATACCGACTAAAACGGTTAGGTAGGACAGGGCCCTACGCCGTCGTCTATTTGTTTCCTGCACGATGCTGCATCAGAAATCCAGGTATAGGACAGCTTCACCCATTTGTCGACCTGCAGCAACTCCACTTCGCTCCGGGTGCCAGCCTCTTCTTCATCTTGTTGCTCTCTTTCTCTCTCTTTCTCTCTCTCTCTCGTCTGCTCGTCTCGCCTCTCCTGCCTACCTCCCTGGGCCTTTCCTCCCCCCCCCCCCTTCCCTGGGAAGCTTGTCACGGGTCGCTCTATCAGATCCCACTACGGAGTAGGCGATCATCTGTTATTTTAGACCGGGGTGAAAAGTGGGCAGTGATCCCGGATCTAGCCATGGAGAGTGATAGATGCGTATGCGATTGCCGACGTACCGCGACCATCCCTGGCATGTGGGGAGCTGCGCCGACCCGGGCGGTGATGAGCTCACAAATAACACACAAGCTCACATGGCACCAAACACAGCGGCCAACAGACAGAGAGTTCTTGTTGAAGAAACAAATCAACTTGTCAGTGTTTCACAATATGCCGGGAGACCTATCGAGGGCATGGGATGGTACTGGAGAGCGTCATCGAGCATCCCGGCCAATGATCAGGCGAGCCGGCCTCGAGACGCTGACCGGCTTCGTCGAGGGCCGATACAAAGTCGAAGCACGATATCATTGGTCCTCCAGACACGATCCTTGCATCTCGTCTACAGTATCTGCGAAGAAATGCGCCACAGCTGAAGGGCTAGGCCACAATCGGGGATCGGCTTGGAGCTATACAAGAGGGGGCTTGGACGCGAGGTCTCACTCAGACTCCAGACAGGATGCCTAACCTGAAAAGAGGATAGAGAGGGATCCTAACGATATGAGAACATGAATTTGTAATTTTCTTTTCATTCCTTTGCTCTCTCTCTCTTTTTCTTTTTTTTTTTTGGCTTCGTGAGGATCAAAACCTGTATCGGTAGACGTGGATTTGCCGGATATGCGATCGTTAACGGGAACAAGAAAAAGAGGAATAGGAACATGTCTTCGTTCGGATTCTATGGAGAGGCTCTGTCCTGACTAGACACCGTACAATACACTCAGCGTAACAAGAACTCGACTTGTGACCCCTAATCCCGGTTATTCGACTTAGGAGCAGACCGGGAACATAAGTTCCGTTGAGAGTCGACCCGGACTTACTTACCCCTCACGTCGAGGCTGGGTTCCGCTTACGACCTTACTAGCCTCCCTCCAGCGTTGAAGAAAAATCGCACTTCAGGCAGACGGGGCTTCCTGGGTCTGCTAGGCGGGCTTAGCAAGGCCTTGAGTAGACAAAGGGTTCAAAAAAGAGAGGAAAAAGAAAAATTAAGGAACTGCCAAATTCTAGAAGCCTTCATGTGACCGGTGGGGCCATTTGATATAGGGGCAGGCCATACGGTTATAGAGGCACAGAATGTCTGGAGACGCTAATTAACGACAGACGGGGGGGGGCATGGTGTGAAGCCAGGCCTCAACCTGTGGAGGGTAGGTATCCATACATAGAGAGCAGGGGAACACAAGGAGAAGCATTTAGACTAGGGTAGGGGTGGGGGTAGGGGTAGGGGTTATGGGTAGGGGTGGAGAGAGAGAGAGAGGGACCCATTCTGAGAGAGGGTGAGAAGGGTGAGAGAGGGAGAGAGGAAGAGAGGGAGAGACAGAGAGGGAGAAGAGTGAGCGAGCGAGCGAGTTACTAGATAGTACAGGCCCTTGGGAACTCTTGGAACGACGGGCATCTTGGCTAGGATTGGTCGAAGCTATAGGGCGAGGTCTTGTCAACCAACCAGCTGACACTCGCTGTCTAGGCCCGGAGCCGGAGACCGTAAAACGATCTGCAAATCATGAGCCATCTTGGCGTAGTCTCTCTCCACTCTACCTTAAATGCAACCGCCCAAGCCGCCGGTGGCCCACACTGGCGCACCTCATCCACCCTCGATGCTACCACGACCATGATGACAGCCATGATCTAGCTGCAGTTCCTATATCCTGAGTACATATGTATGTACGTATGTACGTATGTATGTAGGTACCTAAGGTAGGCATGTTTAGATGTCTGCACCTGTGCTACCGGATGTACCGTATGTCTGTCTGTCTGTCTGTGGGTTGGGCAGTTAGGGATAGGTGCTACCTACATAGCATAGACGGTATATAGGTATAGGTATAGGCATAGATATAGATATAGGTATAGATATAGGTATAAGTATGGGTATATAGATATATATATCGTTATGTAGCAGTGCTTCGCGCCCTGTACCCTGTATCTACCTACCCCGAGCCTACACCGCACTACGTAGTGTACCTATATCAAGATATCTGCACGTAGACGTAGGCATATGAGGCGCAAAGCAGGATGAGGTAGGTTAGATAGCTAAGGTGGTGTAAGTAGGTGAGTAACTGTCTATGCGTGCGCCGTCCTATCCCGCCTGATCCTATCCGATCTCATTCCGTCCCATCCCAGCCTATCCTACCGGTCCGCCACAGCTTCTCTCCTTCGACTAGCGTCCCTACCGGCGGCCAGTCTGGAGCTGGAGATAACAGGATTTTTCCTCGACCTGCTCTCGTCCGCTACTCGTCGCGTCTCGTCGCGCGTCGCATCCCTCCCCTCAGCGTGCCCATCTTCATATCTTCATACATATCCACCCCTCCCTCCCTCTCTCTCCCTACCTGCACATCTACCTGCCTGTCTACCCACATTCATTCATGCCCTCTTACCTACATACCCACCCATATACTACGTAGTACCAGGTCTACCGACCCTCCTAACCAACCCACACCCACACTTACACCCACACACACCACACGCATACATACATACTCATACATACATACATGACCCCTACTCTTATGTTCCGATGTTATGATGTGGCTTGTGCAGACCCCACACTCAAGGCCCTCGCCCTCAACCCCCTACCCCTACACCCTACCCCTCCCCCTCGTAGTATGTGTGCAGATCCCCCCCCCCTTGAATCGTCCGAACCGACCGAGTAGTGAGAGCTCCTCGAACAAATGGGAGAGATGATGTATGTACGTCGTATGTGTGGATGTATGTATGTCTATCCACACACGCAAGCCCCCTTTCTGGCGTTTGGCACAGCCATGATCGAATCCATCCCCTCCCCCCCTCCCCCTTCCCAGCATGGCACGGTTCGCGGCAATGTCACCACCCATGGCTTGCCCTCCTTCGGCATTGATTCTCCCAAGGGAGTGCACTCCACGATCTTGTTTATCAGGTAGGTATATCGACCCACAGGGCACCGCTCAGACTTTCCCACGACCTCCCGCCCGTCGGCCCTGCATGTCACAACAGGAGCGGGAGATCTCCAGATCCCCCCCCCCTTCCCTCCCTCGTCCCGTTTACTTACCCGCTTTTGCAGAGCTAGGGCATCCATAAGCGACCATTCTTACGCCGTCATAGGTACTCCGTACAGGCGCGATAGCGAAGTAACCATGACGCCCTACTCTTCCCAGCTAGCCGGCTAGACTTGGGTGGGCTTCCGCACCCATCCCGCACCTCCACCGCCAACTCGGCCGTATTTTGAGAGACAGGCAGACAGGCAGAAAGACAAACGGAGAGGGGGGAAAGAAGGCGGGGCGGTGGAGAGGACGGGAGACAATGGCCTCGTTTCCGTCGCGTCGCGATACGAAATCTAGACCACGACCGCGTCAGGGCGGTGTGGCCCCCGTGCGGAGCCCTTTTGCTCGTGACGATATTCCGTACAGGTATAGGTAGGCATATAAATAAAGAAATAAAAAAGAAATTACCTATGCATATACGGCCCCGCTACCGAGATCCCTCTGCTGTGTCTCGCTCTGCCGTACCTCTCCGCGGGCCTCAATTTCGAGTTAGGAGGCTTGCTTGATGCTGCTGCTGCTGCTGCTTCCTGCAAGCCGGGGTCTCTTGCACGGCCAAGCTTCGACACGATCTGCCAGCGCTGCGCACGCGAGCCGGGGCGTAGAGGTGACCTGTTACATAGTAGTCGTTCCTCTGACGAAGAACCTGATCTGGAGATCTTAAACCCAATCTCATTAAAATAAAATAAAAACTTTCCGCGGCCGAATCACGAGGGCGGCCGGGGGCCTGTCATCCACCGGTGAAACCTGCGTCATCCGATATGGCGACGCGGCGGGGGGTGTCACGGCATTCGGACGGGTTCCTAGAGGCTGAAGACGCACGCGGCAACGGTCTCGCTTGGTTGCTGGCTCGCTGGCTCGCTCGCTCGCTACGAGTCTCTTGGAGGCAAGTCTGTCTCTCTCTCTCTCTCTCCGCGTCTCCGTCTGTCTATCTGTCTATCCGTCCTCTTCTCTCTCTCTTTCTCTCTCACACATTCCCCCGCCCACTCGCTCTCCGGTTTAGAATGGTGGCTGATGGCAATGTTTCATGTTTAAAATCAAGGGCCTACCACGTTTGCCGGATGATCGCCAACCCTGACTCTGAGGTAACCATCGAGAGACATCCGGAAGTGACGTCGTCATCCCGTTGGAGTTGTTGTGAACTCGGGTGGTTTGGTTTAAGCTTGGCCCTGCCGACCGACCCGCCGGGTGTTGTTCATAATATGTCGTCCTAAGAGCCCACCCACTCGCTCACCCTCTCCACCATGCGATGCGTCCCCTCCTCCCTCCCACCCATCCGCCACCATCTTCCGGTATCGCTAAAGCATCATCGACGCTTCTCGACAGCGATGGGCGACCGCCGGCGACGATATGTTTCGCCTGAGGAAATACAACGCGCATGGGTCAGGGCAGGGCAATGACGCACACCAAAGTGCTGCCGGCATGCCGGCCGACGCAGGCGGGACCTCCCTTACCAGGTTAACATACCCTCTCTCTACGCCTCTCCCCTACCTCTGCCTGCGTCTCGTGCCTCCTTCGTGCCTACATGGCGTGCCTGTCTTGTCCTATCCTGCGCTGCGCTGCGCGCGCCTGCGCGCGCCTGCGTCTCTGCGGGTCGACCGGGTACCCTGCGCGGAAATATTGCAACGGCAGCGCTCCTTGCGATACGCCCGGCTCGCCAGTCCCCAGGCGTCCCGGCGGGCTTCATTGGCCGCCGTCGACGTTAGGCGATGCGCGCCCTCTGTCTCTGTCTCTCTCTCTCTCTCCTCTCTCTCCTCTGGCCTTTCCGCCGCCGCCGCCGCCACCGCCGCCGCCACCACTGTGCGTTTGCTAGCCCACGGCCGCAAAACCCGCGCGCCCACGCCCACGCGCGCGCGCGCGCGAGACCGAGCGAAGGGCCTCACTCGCTCGCACGCACGCGCACGGGGGACATGGGCCCGCGTACAGCATGCCTTACCTACCTACCTACTTCATACATGTGCGCATCCCATGCCTACCTACCTTACCTGCTTTATGGGTCCCTCGCGCGTCTAGGAACGAGGGGCGAATCCTAGCCGACGGTTCCTCCCCCCCCCCCCCTTTTTTTTCCAAATTCTTTTTTTTTCGCTTTCACGCGATAGCCACGCCGCCCCGTCCCCCGAGACATGGAAGAAGACGAGCAGGAAGACCAAAGAAGAAAAAAACCACTTTACCTGCCTACCTGCCTACCTGCCTCCTACGTAGAATCAGGCCATCGCGCCCGCGCGCGCCCGCCGAGGTTTCTTTGGGTTCCTTTCCGCTCGGGATCGTTGCCGATCCCTGCTCCTTTAGTAGCGTCTCCATAGTCAGTCGACCTTCCGGCACTGGGGCGATTTCTTGTTTTTTTTGGGCATCTCCATCTCTATCTCCATCTCCCTCTCTGATTCTCCGTATGGAAATTTCTTTTTCCTTTTCGTGTTCTTCTTTCTTTGCCCCCCCCCCCCCCCCCCCCCTTGTCCCCTTCGTCTGACCTCTCTCGGGATTGGAAAGTCTCGTTTTTCCCCTTCCTCCCCGGGAGGCCCCGACTCCTGGGGTAGATTTGAATATATGCTGCTATTTTTAGCCCCCCCGAGAGAATCGCGGTTCGGAATGCGCACTCACATGTCGCCCGACGTATGCCAATGAGAGCACGCAGCGCGACGCGGTAGAATCTGCCGGTAGAATTTTCCACGATCATATGAGTCAGATTTAATATAGATCCCGCAACTACGTCGCGCTCTCCTCCCCCTGGCAGAAGCCATCCATTCATCTACCTATCTAATCTATCTATCGGCCTCACATGTCTATCCGTCTACGCGACGCAGACCTGCGGCAAGACCTGGTCGTATTCGACGGCAGACGGAGGGTGTGCCGGCGTGGATACGAGGGAAGCGAGGGGAGCGAAGGGAAAGGGAAGCGAAGCGAGAAGGCGATTCGTGTAAGTATTTGGCGTGTTGCTCGGTAGGGTTGTCCACGAGGAGTCGAAACCCGGGTCACCGGCTTCAAATGACGGTCAAGGGCTCTGGCATATGTAATGTATGTATGTATGTATGTATGTATGTATGTATGTATGTATGTATGTATGTAGGTCCGTAGATGCCCACATATATGTGTGTATGCATGTGGGATGTGTGGATTTGTGTGTATGTCTGCGTGTGTGTAAGAGTGTGTGTGAGAGAAGGAGAGGGTGTGTGTAAGAGAGAGAGAGAGAGAGAGAGACAGTGTGTGTGAGTGTGTGTGTGGATGTAGCAGACATGCATTTGTCGAGAAGCAGGCAGATAGATGTTGTAGGTGGATAATACAATTACAATACGCAGATGGGTTTCTTCTTCACCCTCCCTACCTCTCCTTCATATCAACCTACATACGTACATACATACGCATGCATGCGTAACCAGGCCTTGCTACCTGTTACCTACTAGGCATCATATCATACCGCCCGGAGGACGGCGAACGTGACGTAGAGAAGTTGATTAAAGTGTAGACGCTTAATTTGTTAGAAATGAGTCTAATTAAATCCTGTATGCAAGACAAGGCAGAGAAGTGCCGCCGTCGCACTACTGCTCCCGCCGGATGCTGGTGGTGGTGGTGGCCGACACCGTTTAGGGGGAGCCCTGGTCGAGCGGAGGCGGCGGAGGGGGGAGGGAGTGGGAGGGAGTTGAAGCAAGCCAGCAAGGACACGAGCAACGGAGCGAGACCGAGACATTGAGAGACACAGGCGGAGAGAGGAGGGCATGGAGATAGGAAGATTAAATCTTGGTTTGTGCACACATGACCACCTTGGTAAAGACCTAGTCCTGGTTCCCAGCGTTGTAGATTATGGGTGAGTAGATGAGGTGTAGGGAGTTTGGGCGGTGAGCAAAAGATGGTGTTTCTTCTCCACCCGGATGAGAACTGGTGGGACGGCCCGGTTGCAGAAATGACGGTGGATGACACTTGGGTGGGGTGGATGCCACCAGGTGGCGGGGCCCGACCCGACCTCTGCCTCGCCATGGCCCAGGTGGAGTCGGTTCGGGGCTGGGCACGAGATAAGGACGAGATAAGGAACCGGTTATCTAAGCAGCCGCTACTCCTGGTCGGTACCCAAGTACCTCACCCGCCTTATAGAGGTACCTCCTTAGAGGTACCCAGATACCCTTAGTGGACCTTATCCGCGTATCGATTAGATATCTGCCTACACACTTATTTGTTATCTACCTACCTCTTATCCGCTTATCAGTCATCTCGGGCAGTAGCTCGGTACCTACCTACCTACAGAGCATCCCTATCGATAAGGCCTCGTCATCTCCCTGAGCGGTCGCGATAGGCAGATACAGACAAGGTAATCGACGAACGGATTTCCGTCGAATCGTTCCGCCATAGCTGAGCCTCTCGTCGCGTCCGACGACATCACCTACGCATCAATTTCTCCGTCACCATCCGGGGATCAAATCAGCGTATCTTGATGCCGTCTCAGCGTTAGGTGCCAAGACAACCAGGAGAAAGAAAAGACGAGGAAAGAAAAACACCCGCCCCGAAACCAAAGCAACGGCCTCAAAATGACGAGCGTCAAGCGGCCTCGCTCCGACCCCTCGTCTTCAAACCTCTTCAGCAAGACCTATGTACGGTCCACGAAGAAGGGCAAGGTCCAGAAGATTGTGCGCGAGGTCTACCTCCGACGAGACATCCCCTGCTCCTCTAAGCTATGCTCTGTGTGCCTCCACATCACACCGGCGAGCTCAAGCGGAGAGCGTAAGTGCCCGTCCTCATCTGGACAATCTCACTATTCTCTATGTGAACTGGGTGTAGCTAGGGGTTAACATCGATTCTAGGAATCCCGCCTGTCCTCTCGGATAAGCCCGCGGGTACCAGGCACTACCCGCAAGGGCATTACCTCGTCCCAGACACCAATGCCTTGCTGGGTGCTATGGACCTGTTCGAGCAGAGCTCTGCCTTCTATGACGTAGTCATCCTCCAGACAGTCCTGGAGGAGCTGCGCAACAGGTCGCTACCGTTATACAACCGCCTGCTCAGCCTTACCAGGAGCGAGGAAAAACGCTTCTACGTCTTCTTCAACGAGTTCAGGCTTGAGACGTACGTGCCCCGGGCAGAGAACGAGTCCATCAACGACAGGAACGACAGGGCTGTCCGTCAAGCCGTCAGGTGGTACAACGGACACCTCGGCGCCATCAAGACCAAACAGCTTCCGGCTGTGGTCATGCTCACCGACGACAGAGCGAATATCGAGCAAGCGAAGAAGGAGAACATCCCCGCTATAACCTTGCGCGACTATGTTGCGGGACTCGAGGATGCGGATCGCCTGCTCGACATGATTGCTGAGTCGCAAGAGCGAGGCATCTCCCGGGACAAGAACGCCGTCGAGTTCCTGTATCCCGAGCACTATACCCTATCCAAGATGATGACCGGAATCAAGGGGGGTGTGCTCCACCAGGGCATCTTCAACGTGTCACCCTATAACTACCTTGAAGCCTCCATCAAGGTTCCCGAGTTCCCAAAAGCACTTATCGTGCTAGGACGCGAGAACATCAACCGCGCCGTAGATGGCGATGTCGTGGTCGTAGAGGTTCTCCCTCGGGACCAGTGGAAGGAACCTTCTACTAAGATTCTCGAGGAAGAGGCCGTCACGAAGAACGAAGATGCCGACAACGAAGACGGTGACGATATCGTCGTTACCGAAAGAGAGAGGCGAGCTCTACAAGACCAGGTTAAGAAGACCCAGGGCCTCAGCACCGAAGGACGGCCACAACCCACGGCAAAGGTGGTCGGGGTTATCAAGCGCAACTGGCGCCAATACGTCGGCCACATCGACCCATCTTCTGTAAGCCAGTCGGGCAGGCAAGGCAGGAAGCAGGAGAGCGTCTTTCTCATTCCCATGGACAAGAAGGTGCCGAAGATCCGCATACGCACTAGACAGGCCGGCGAATTGGTGGGCAAGCGAATACTGGTCACGATCGATTCCTGGGACCGCGACTCTCGACATCCCATCGGCCACTTTGTCCGATCCCTAGGTGAACTGGAGAGCAAAGCTGCCGAGACCGAAGCGCTGCTACTAGAGTACGATGTCCAGTATCGACCTTTCCCTAAGACGGTGCTGGATTGCCTGCCGAGGGAAGGCCACGACTGGAAAGTGCCGGGCAGTACGGACGACCCCGGCTGGAGGGACAGGCAGGACTTCCGAGACCTTCTAATCTGCAGTATCGATCCGCCCGGCTGCCAGGACATCGATGATGCCTTGCACGCGAGGCGGTTACCAAACGGACACTTTGAAGTCGGGGTTCATATCGCAGATGTCTCGCACTTTGTTAAGCCTGGGAACGCCATGGACACGGAGGCGAGCATCCGAGGAACCACGGTGTATCTAGTAGACAAGCGCATCGACATGCTGCCGATGCTACTCGGCACCGACCTCTGCTCCTTAAAGCCTTACGTGGAGCGCTACGCCTTCTCCGTCATCTGGGAGCTCGACGAATCCGCCAGCATCGTCAGCGCGAGGTTCACTAAATCAGTAATCAAGTCCCGCGAAGCATTCAGCTACGAACAGGCACAGTTGCGGATCGACGATGCTTCGCAGCAGGACGATCTTACCCAGGGTATGAGGATACTCATGATGCTATCCAAGAAATTGAAGCAGAAACGGACGGACGCCGGTGCTCTAAGCCTCTCGTCGCCCGAAGTCAAGGTCCAAGTAGAATCGGAGACTTCGGACCCGATCGACGTCAAGACCAAGGAGTTGTTGGACACCAACTCGCTCGTGGAGGAGTTCATGTTGCTTGCGAACATCAGCGTAGCAGGCAGGATATACGAAGCCTTCCCCCAAACCGCTATTCTTCGTCGACATTCTGCTCCACCAAAGACCAACTTCGACGAGCTTGCCAACCAACTCAAGGTGAAACGAGGGTTAGAACTCCGATTCGATTCGTCGAGAGCCCTCGCCAACTCGCTCGACCAGTGTGTCGACCCCGAGGCCCCTTTCTTCAATACGCTCGTGCGCATCATGGCAACTCGCTGCATGATGAGCGCCGAGTACTTCTGCTCCGGGACCCAGGCGTACCCGGAATTCCGCCACTACGGCCTCGCCTCAGAGATCTACACGCATTTCACGAGTCCCATCAGGCGATACGCCGACCTTGTGGCCCACCGGCAGCTCGCGGCGGCGATAGATTATGAGCCGATGCACCCGGCGGTACGCTCGCGGAGCAAGCTCGAGGCCGTGTGCAAGAACATCAACGTCCGGCACCGCAACGCGCAGCTGGCAGGGCGGGCGAGCGTGTCGTACTACGTAGGGCAGTCACTCAAGGGACGGGTGGCGGAGGAGGAAGGGTTCGTGATGAAGGTGTTCAGCAACGGCTTCGCCGTGTTCGTGCCGCGGTTCGGCATCGAAGGGCTGATCCGGCTGCGAGATCTCGCCGACCCGGAGCCGGATAGCGTGTTCAGCGCGGAAACGTACACGCTGCAGACGAGCGGCAGCCGCGAGCTCTCCGTCGAGCTATTCGCCAAGGTCGTCGTGCGCATCCGCGACGCGAAGGACGAGGCGACGGGCAAGAGGGGCGCTAAGATGGAGCTGGTGCGCACCTGCTGAGGAGCGATAGACGCGCCCCCCCCCGGGTGATTATTGCGCGCGCACTCTTACGAAGGACCCGTAACTACTGTATGCCATCGGGGCGACATAAGTACGGCACAACACGTACCTCTAGAGCTAAGTGGGCGCTACGCCGTAGATACTATTGTATAGGCTAAACCGAAACCAGCTTTCGCACAGGCATATAGATTCTACCAGGAGAAAGCGACGGGACAGGAAGGCCATGATGAGATAAACAGGTTACGCTAGGCTACCTAAGCATGTATGTGCGCAGGTATATAGTTGACATACTAAGCTCAACATCAAGAATGACCCCGAGCGGCCAGTATCCGCCTAGTAACTAGTTACTACCGGTAGACTTCTCTACGGGCAAATATCTTGAGGTGCTTCGACTGCCACGGCGGAGGTTCTGACTACCCATAGAATAACAGTCTCCCATTTCTTGTCTTCTACCTAGTTGCTGATCGGTCGTAGTCTCTGGGAACGCTAGTAGAGAGGGAGCCTGATCGCCTCCCCCCTCTACGAACCAAAAGGCTCGGTCCTCTTTCGGCGAATCTCCCCCTCGGTCAAGTAGGGGAGGGCGTTGGAAAGGTAGATGGTGGTCCGTTATGTTGGCCTGACCTTGTGCTTGTCAACATGAGTCATAGGGTCGCATGGAGGCTGCTCAGGGTTCCAGAGGGATCAAGGTTGAGGCTGGGTGTAAAGGGGTTAACCTGTTTAACCTATAGAGGTGTGTGTGAAAAGGGAGTGGCGTATGCGACTAAGTACTAAATACGGGATCTACGCAATACTGACACGGCTCGAAGACACAGCTAAAATGCAAAGACCAGAAAGGGGAGAAGATGTGGCAGGAAGTGGTAGCCGGATAAAGGATGTAGAGTATGAGGTAAATGAACGCTACGTTATATTCAAGTTAGTAAGTGACTCTATAATGTTAGCAGCGCTGTACAAGCGACCTGTTCATATAACGAATCCTCAAACCGAGATGCGCCTCTGGCGAAGGAGAGGCGCCCCCTTCCACCCTACCTACCAGCTCACTCTCTCTCCTCTAACAGCAACCGACAAACAACGTCAGCACCGGTATAGCTAGACAGAACCCAGGCACGTCTCTGTGGCCAAGATTAGCACCGGCTACTAAGCTCCCTCATCTGGGAAAGATCTCGCGGGGACAACCATGGTACGGAAGAGAATAGTCTGCCCGGCACGCGATGGCAATTGATTACCTAGGTAGGTATTGCTTCCTACCTAACTCAGTCCTGCCCTGCATTTCACCTGCTTACCTACGGTCGTCCTGTACAGGTATTCCCTAAATACGTGTGTAAATACCTACTTACGCACACACCCCTGGCCGTCGTATCTCGCGGCGTGTGACACGTAGTTTTCTCCCCCAGGAAGCCAAGTTCGGGCACCGCGCTTCTGCGTTTTCGTGATCTGCGGGCTGAGCTGCTCGACCGACCGACACATCCCGCGCGCCCCCTAACCCTCCAGCACTCCCCCCCACTCCCCCCTTTCCCCCTCTGCGCTCGCCTGAGCTCTCTGTGCATCGTCATCTCTCGCCGCTTCAGCTCGGGGCATACTATCGTTACGCACAGCGCGCCCGCAAACCTGTTTACGCGTGTCTCCCGCCCGGAACGAGCGCACGCCCCCCTACGAGAGACGGCGCGCGCGGAGGGGGTGCGGCAGCAGGAGCAGGAGCAAGTCGTCGCCGCCGAGCGTGCACGAGAGATGGTCACGTCGTATTGCACAACTCCGAGTCTGCCTGCGCTCTGGATCGGCAATCGAGTTGTCGTGCGCCCCCCCTCCCCCCCTATTCGCGCGAACCCGCCACTCTTACCGAGGGGAGGAAAAACCCGGCAGCGGTTGGGGAAAAAAGGGTAGTATCGTAGCAGGTTTGGACGATGGGTTTCTAGAATCTCCGAGGGGAGGCTCGGAAAGTGCTCACCTGACGGAGCCAGTCGACGAGCAGGTAGAGGTAGGTATGTGACTGAGGACGCGCGCTGCTGGTCATGTCATGCCTGCGGGCGACAACCCGGCCAGCCCCGTCCGGGGTAGTATTCGGGGGAAACGTCTACAGGACCGCGGACAGCGATTCGTCGCTGGCGAGCGGCATGTATACATGCTATATATCTCTGACAAGGACATCGACTCCGTATCCTGTCCTATCCTATCCTATCCTGACCGTCTCCCTCCCGCCCCTATCCATCCCCCTCCTCCTCCTTCTCCTCCACCCCCTTAGCCCCCCCTATTCTCTCCGCAAGCGCCGCTGCCGACGCGAGCCGTGACGAGCGAGCTATCACCTGCCTCCTTGTCTACGCATCGAGCCCCGGGCAACAAACAAGAAACGACCCCCCCCCCCCCCCCTGATCGGTGCGTTCTCTCGTCGGCCGGTCGGACAGCGCCAACCAACAGGATCTCACGTCCCTCCCGGGCGGGCGCGCGCGAGATCGCGATTCGTGATTCGCGACGGCGTCGGGGGGGACGAAAGGCCTTCCCTCCCCGACTGCCAGACAACGAGACAGGACGAACCAGTAACGCGTCGAGGATCCGAGCATGTAGGTACAGCAACCGCTGGGCGCCGTCTCGTCGCGAGACCGACCCGGGCTCGTCACCGACGTACGTGCGATACCTACATACGACCTGCCACCACCAGCCAGCCAGCCAGCCAGCCACATGTTCTGCCCTGGCGGGGGCAAGGGGGTGGGTGTGTTCCTTCGTGAGAAGAGGAGAGGAATACCTACATACGTGCCTACGTGGTATACTAGGTACTCGTACACACATAGAGGCCGTTCTCGACGTCTGTACATCATACGCACATACATACACGCGTGCGCAGGCGCAGGCCGAGGCACAGAAACACGCACGACCCGCCAATGAGAGCGTCTGGGAGTAAGATGAAACGGCCCTCGGTGGCGCGCAAGTACCGCTCGAGGCTCGAGATTGAGATGAGACCCGGGGGCTGCATGCTGCATTATGCAGCGGGCGCACCGCAGAAATTTTGTTTTTTTTTTTCCCTTTTTCCCCTTCTCCCTCTCTCTCTCTCTCTCTCTCTCTCTCTCTCTCTCTCTCTCTCTCTCTCTCCCCTCTCCTCTGCTATCTCGCGGGAAGATCTATTGCAAGATGGCGCTATAGCGCAGGCGGGGCGTACGCGCGGTCCGCGACGGCGCGCCCTGCCTCATTTGCCGGCCGCCGCCCGGCTTTGCTGGCTGCGAGAAATGAGAGGGGCCCTTGAACTAAGCTTCGCTATGCGCGCGCCGTGTGTGTGTGATACGTACGTACACCCGTAGAGCGCACATGGTTGACCCCTGAAACGCGTGTGTGCGTCGGTGTATAAGTAGGTACCTACAATGTTCACAACTCTAGGTAGGTAACTATCGCGGACTGTCGCCCTCTCGGGTCGTCTTACGACAGTGGCCCCAGGGGGGGGGGGGGGCAGAGAACGATATCGCGGATCCGTCGAAGCTTCGTGAAGGAGAACCGAAAAAGAAGACTTCAGAACGACGGGTGCCACTGGTACCTCGGGGGAGGAAGGGAGGGAGAGCTTCGCTGGTGTGTTCGTCCGACAACCCTGCCGCTATAGAACGGCCGGCTAAGACCTCGCCGTGCCGGGGTGCGGGAGGGAAAGGTAAGGTGGCTTTGAGTACATAGTACGTAGTATGAGTAGGTAGGTATGTGCGTGCTTCGCTCACGTAGGTGGTATTGATGATGAAGTGAGCGAGGCCCGAGGGGAGGAAGAGAGCGCGAGAGCGCGAGAGAGATGACTTACACGATCGGAAGCCCCCCCCCCCCCCCAAACCAGAAACCCAGCCTTCCAGTTCTCTTCCACGCCGCGTCCGTTTCGGGCCAACCGAGCAGCCGAATCAGTCCCCTTGCGGCAGGATCGGCTCGCCTGAAATGAACGCGTGCGCCTTGTCCTGATGTCCGGGATGGGGTAGTCCGGAGGACATCCCATGTCTATTGCTCGCTCTCTCTCTCCCTCTCGCTCTCCGTCCCGACATCATCCAGCTCTTCATATTCTCTCCCTCTCTTTTTTTTTTGTTATTCCTTCCTTTCTTTCTTTCTCTGTTTCGACCTCGCTGTTATTACTTGTAGGTGAAAACTGCCCGCGATGACGCAACACGGAATTGCCCAAGGAAGACCTCTGGCCGCTTTGAGCGCGCGTGGGACCCTCGCGCGCCATGTGCTCGCGGCATCCCGGACCGCTGGGCGGGTTAGCAGCGCGGTGATAAGAGGCTCGGACCGCTAGGCGGACTATGTAAGTACACAGTCACCCGTGGTGCTTGGGTCATTTCCTACGCCGCGAAGCCGTGCGGAACAGGCGCTTATCCTGGGGCATCCAGACGACCGGGTCCAGGATGAATACAGTCCGGTCCCTTTTTTTCTTTTTCTTCTGCGCTCACTCTCTCGCCCTCCCGTCCCCGAAGCTACGGAGCTATGCCTAGGTATCTGGACACCGACGCACAGTCCATCTCCCCAGCCGCTTTCGACGGGACCCTGGTGCTGTTACGGGTGCCAAGGTAGCAATTACCTATAATATTGCTGCCAAGGCCGGGTGGAAGCGTCAGCGGTAGTCATCGGCACAGATGGCTGGATCGCAGGTGGCCCAGGGGCGCACGCACGGCCCGGTGCTGATCGGCGGCGTATTATACCTGGGTCGACAGCATGGGAAATCTTTCTTACGTACCTACTCATACCTACATTGAGCTGACAATGAAGTGGAGATGGGGAGATGGAACATAGGTAAGTTAATAAAATAAAATAAATCCCCGAAAATAGACGACCCAGGGCCCCCTCGCTTCCAGCTACGAGAAGCCCCCGGTGCCTCGCGTCCGAATGAGTGACCCCGGTTTATTCATGACGGGACTTCGCTGCTCGTCGTAGTGGCGTGTTTTGGCGTCATGATACTACTATCATGATGTACGTGTAGGTATATGTGTATATACATATACACATATACCTATACATGTCGCGATGGTCAGTAGTATCGCGAGTTGATGCCGGGTCGACTCTTACCCTGCCGTGCTAGGCCGAACTAAACACGGGAGGGTGAGAACTCGAGCCTGAATTGGCCCAGCCCAGCGTGCGGGCATGGAAATAACTGCGTCCAGCGAGCCTAGTGTGGTGCGTGCCTGCAGCTTCGCTGGGTAATGAAGTTGCACCCGAATATGCTCAACACCCGTTCTGGTCGACAACTCCGTAGTGGTTGGGTCGTACGGTGATACCTTAAGACCGAGGGATCGTAGCCGTAGGCATATGGGGGGGGGGGGGGGGGTTCCCGCCAACGCGGATATGGCATACACCTAAGGAGGTATATATCAGGCGGATATAGCAAGCAATATCCCGCTACCAGAAAACGAGTTGGTGGGGGAGCAAGACGTCGAGGCGTGTGACTTCATACCCAGCCCTCCATTATACGTGATTAAAATGTGGCATTTCTTTTGCCGATGTTAGTCAATGTAACAACGATCGCCCAACGT